GAAGGAAGGAAGGAAGGAAGGAAGGAAGGAAGGAAGGAAGGAAGGAAGGAAGGAAGGAAGGAAGGAAGGAAGGAAGGAAGGAAGGAAGGAAGGAAGGAAATTCCCAAGAGGCAAAAAGAAATTCAGTTCCTTGTTAAGCCACTTTGTTTGAAACAAAATGGCCATTTGCTTGCCATGAACAGCAAGGGAGTGCATACAGCTGGAACTTTTTCTTAGACTTTCAAAGCAGTCACAGAATCTTTAGAGAATCTCTTATTACAAAATTTGAAATATTTAACCTAATCTTCTCTTTAGTATACTGTCAAACTACATTTTACTTTATAACCTTTAAACAATGAATTTCTGTTACTAAATGTTCTTTTTAAGACTGGGCAGTGATAAAGGAAATAGTAAGTGTACAGGTTAGTGAGACTCTATTTTACCTTTTCTAAAAGTTTATATTAAGCAAATGTATGAGAATTTTTCCATGAATGATCTAGCCCACACAGGATTTAACTTAGATTGCATCTCTTTAAAGATAAATGCTAAATAAACACAATAGATATAAAAAAACCTCCTTATCTGTAATTGCTTTTCTAACCTGTCGGTAAGAGGTGTTATAACCAGACGATCAGTGCAACCTAGAAATTCATTTTGGTAAATAAAATCAACATCTGTAATTGATACAATGACGTGGTCATAATCCTCTTTATAGTAGAATCTAGACTGCTTTAACCACTCAAAATCAGTTGGTGTCCTGATGTTCATTTTTACCTTAAAAGAAAGCAAAAGTGTGTGTTATAACCAARCATCTACATTTATTGTCTTTAACAACTGTGATAAAATGATTATTGCTATGTGAATAATGAGTGATTACTCAGATTAAAGTTCCTGTGTAAATAAACTTAAATACAAAAAGCATCACATAGCATGTTCAGATATATGCTAAACTGATACTGAAAAACGTCCTGATTGCTTAACCCAATCATCCCAACCTCTGTGTTATCAAATAAATCTTAAACTGCTTTGGTAGGATGGTCCACTTTCCAAGTGAGAAATGCAAATAGCATACTGCTAAATCCATGAAACACATTGCAACAAAGGGCATGATGAAGGAAGGATGGGACTGAGGCGCAGAAGCAAAGTATATAATCTGAAAAGCCTCTAGAAATATGTGAGGGACAGTATTGGAAGATGCCATTCCTCAAAGAATATAGGAATGGTAACAATTCAGCACAGTCTCAAAACTTCAACTMCAGGATTGCAACAATCTGCTGACTTTAGAAGGGTTTTTTTTTGTGTTCTATGTAGTCTCCTTAGGAAAGTGCAGCCATGTGCCAGCTGAGATTCTGTRAAGTCCTGAGCAAATGATGTTACAGCTACAATACCCTCAGCAATCTCAGCATTTTAAGTTATGTAAATAAAAGTAATACAACTGTTTTTCAAAGGAAGGAAATACTTTAAGTTTTGTCTACCAAAAAAAAATCCTATAGGAAGACATGGAAAATTTAAACTTTCTAAGAAAAGCATAAATGCTTGGCAAAAAAATATTTAGTTGACAGAACTAATTAATGGTATTCCAAGTAAAATTGTATTATTTTTACTGCGGTGAAAATTATGGACATCTTTCTCCTATACACGCATACACATGTAACTGTAGCTACGACACATARGAAAGAGAATTATGATGGAAAATGCATTTAATTCTATACTTTACCAAATCATCAAAAATATCACGCTGATGCACATGAATGGTAATAAGTGTTTCAAATTTCACTCTCTCAAATTTGGAAAGATCCTGTGTGGTCTGGCCAATCAATGTATTCAGAATATCCAGAAATCTGGCATTGGTTATATCCATAATTTTTTTGTCATCCAGAGCATTGCGTAGAGCTTCTTCTCCATCACGTGTCCACAATATCTGAATTCCCAGTAATCCAACCTAAAAATATAATACATGAAAAACATACAAACTAACCACTTGTTGAACTCTACCTGTGCTGCAGAAGCCTTAGGAATAATAGGAACAACAAATTATGGTGTAGACAGTTCCAAAATACCTCTATGTCTAACATGAATCTATCTCACCGGGACACCATGCCTGAATAAATTGACACTGCTGCACAATCTGCTGAGAAGGCACTCAAAAATTTTACAAAATTTTGTCATATGGAGAGATATACACAAACTAAGGACCAGAGTCAGTTTCACTTCTAATCCTTTAAAGTACTCCAGTAATGCAAACCTAAACCGGCTCTGGRGGCAGAAGATCTGAAAATTTCCCATTGCCAATTTGTAACAAATTAAAGAACATTAAAATGCTGTGCATTTTCACTAAACATGGGATGGCTTGCCTTCTAACATTTTATCATGCCTGGAGTACAGCCTAGAGCATACTGAAATACAAATTCTTTTGCTTCCAAATAAATCCAAAGAGTTTTAGGATGTTGTACATAAACTACTGTCTCAGACTGATTTTAATTTACAATACCCACAACAAAAAAAAAGAGACATGAGCAGTGTATCCCTTCATTACCTTTATTCCCCACATTTCTATATGCACAAAGCACCAAGCCCTAAAAATTTTACTCAACATCTCTTCCTACATTTCTGGCTCCCTATGCCCATAGYGAGCTCATGGCTGCAGAGTTTGTGTATTAGAAGATAGCCTGATGATTTTAAAATGGTGAGATATCATAAGTAGAGTCTTTAAAAAAATAAATTTTAGAATGACCAATTAGTCAAAGGAAAACAAAAAAAAAAACCCAACCAACGAACCAAACAAAAAAATTGGATRTGACTATTTTATGCTAACTATAACAGAAGCTTCTGAGCCAGGAAAAAGGCAGTTGGAAGAAAACATTTCATTTGCCAGCATTTTTCCCAATTTGTTCTCTCTTCTGTAACGCAGCTTTATTTTATAAAACTTTCTTGGCCAAACCCTTCTAAGACAATTTTTTGAACACAAGAACATTTGGATTAGCAAGACATGAAAAAAGATCTTTGCAGATGCTAACAAAGCCACATCGAAATGTCTGACATGCAAACAAGACACTCCTTATTTGTTTAAGGCAGTGRAATTTTTCAAATAAACACTACTGAGACAATACTAATTATGTATAATTATGTCATAAATACAGCTTTAAGATAATTCTAGTAAATACTTTTTTTTTTTTTAAGTAGCAACATACTGGCCAATTTTAACATTTGCAGAATTTTAATTTAGAAATTACACCTAGCACTGTACCAATCAGCAAATTACAGATTCAGAATTTGCACAGGATGGGTAACAGTTTGTTACTTGATGAAATTCATGAACTATCCGTAAGATGGARTAGTTTCTAGAATCCTTCAACATAGCCTTGTACTAGGACTACATTGTCATGGTGAAAAATATATGAACTATGAGGGATATCCTAAAAATTATGACATAAATAATCATAATCAGAGCTCTCACAATCTTAAATTATGAGAGAGAAATCAATCTGCATGTGCAATTTTATTCGAAGCTGAAAGCAACCCAGTGTCCATTACAGAAAATTTAAGTTCAACTTTATGTTCTGCAAGAGAACTAAAAAAACTAAATTTAAGGTAAATAGCAAGAAAAACATTATGCTATATACTGGCTACCAAAATTTAAGTGATTAAGGATTGCCTTCCACTGACCAGATCCTTCCTCTTGTTTCCTCTTGAACACACATATCCACACATCACATTCTTACCTGTGCTGGAAATTGATTAAGAAAAGTCAGCAACTGATATCCTGGGTCACTTAAGTGGTAAAAAGCTGCCCTAATTATGCCATGCAATGACTTCTGCTGCACTTGCAATAAAATCTTCAACCAAAGTTCTACTGGTCCTTTTGCAAGCACTGGAGTGTCCAACTGTAAAATTAATGAAAATAAAAGGTATGAAATAGAACAAAGTTGCCAACCTTAGGATCAGGAATATGAGACACTACACAATTACTAAATTTCTATTCATGACAGCTACAGATTTTACTTCAATTAATATCCAAGACATTTATTTAATGAAGACATATTCTGGTTTTGTTAACAACAATCCTTGAAATATTTATTTKTAATTAACAATAATTCAGCTTAATATATCTTACATGTTTAATAATAAAATTATTTAACTATTAAAGTTTCTGGAAAAAAAAAAATCAGATAATTACTTGAACTTTTTCTCCTTCTCTTGATATGACTGCCAATATGCGATCATAATCCTTTTGGTGAAACTCTACTTCATTTATGTTGTCAGATATGGAAGTCAGATGTGGCTGTAAGGATAATTTAGGAATCATACAATGTAAATATTTATCATTAGCAAACAGAAAAAATCTCAGATAAGGTTATCCTTCAAAAGTTCATCTAAACCTGCAAAAGTTTTTCTGAATAGGTAATGATTACAGAAAGGATTGTGTAGAATTTTAYCTCTGTCTTCTGTGTTTTCACATTTTCCAGAGATAATCTAGCAGAGATCATAYGACTAATCTCAATCAACCCTCAGTAACAATCCAGACTAGCTGGATAAATTGTGCAATATCCAAAGCAGGAAAGCCTCACAGGGTCCCTTCTATTAGTTTAGTTGTGAAAGAAACCACCAGCAAATCACTTGATGAAATCATGTTCTAGTGTTCTGAATTCTGAAGATTGTTTTGAATTACTGGTATCCATTTCACATATTGTTAAAGAAYACAGAGCCACAAACAAAATTCTTTTTCAAGCTAACTTTATAAAAAGAAAATKTTTCCACTCTATGTTATTAAATGCTCCTCCATATTCTATTTTTTTTTAATCTAAATAGAAAAAAAAATCACTAAGTTTGTACCTGGATTGTATGAGAATCACTTGCTTGTCCAAGAATTTCAACAAGTGCAGGATCAGAAATGAAAAAGAATCTTGGAAACAGCAGTCTTTTCTTCTCTAAATATCTTTAAAATTGAACAAGATTTTTATTAAACTATTACAGGTTGTAATCTTTTCTATATAGGGGTGTAAGTAAGACTGAAATACAATCAATGTTTCATACAATATATATGATAAAGAATTAAAAATAAAAAACAAAATCATACCCTGTAAGTGATTTCTGACATACTTCCAACTGTTCATGTAAATGAGGGAGAAGCTGCTCCATMGTATCATCTCCAACACAGCAGGCAACTACGTTTGGGTTTTCATGAGCTCGTTGCATTATTTTTACCCATGATTTGTCAATATTCTGAAAACGCTTTGCTTCCTATATATACCAAAACCAAAGCAAAATCTATTGAAAATTACTGCACAGAAAGCTTTTAGTGAACAATAATAGACAAGCATTGTAAAGTTTACCTGGGGTAACTCTTTTGCAATATCCCCCGCTACAAAAACAGCTTCAAGATAAATCCAGAGGTTCTGCACAACAAGCCATTCTTCTATTATGCGTGAAGAGTTGCTTAGTTTATAAACCCAGCTCTGAATTTGCTTTTTAAATGCCGTATTGTACCTAAAAGAAGATGAGAAGCATAAATTATTTAATTCTAAATAAATTTATTATAAAATAAACACTTACAACAGTGAGAAAAAAAAACCCAAACCCAGAGCAAACCAACTCTTTTTTCACTTAGGAGAGGAACAACCTCATGGAAAGTTTTTACCAATTCGATTACATTGAAGTATACTGAGATGAAATATCAATATACTGTCTCAGTTGAACGTATATGGAACTCTTTCACATAAGGATGTTTTTCCTTAAGTCTTGTAAAATTTTTTTCATAAAAAATTGAAATATTTTTCATTAAAAAAAAAATCAACTCAAATTTACTACTAATTTAGCTCAGTAGCACAATTGTTGCTATATCAGTGTGTTTGTGAAAATGCCATATATGAACATGTACCTATTGGACAGTAAAGAGTCAAGAATCATTAAACTGTCCTCCATCAATATCATAATGTCTGCTGATTCATTTCCCCKTAACAGTAACTCTCCTCTTGTTTTGAACTGTGCAAAGCTCAGATTTTGGACTCCCCACGTTTCAGCTACTTGAGATAGTTTGGCTTCTATATCCTTTTCCTTCATAGCAGATATGCATATATCCTGCAAAGAAAGAAACACTTTTTAGATTCTCCAGTCTTGTGAAATTAAATCCTTCCGAATACTGCACACCCAGTAACCGAATATTAAAAAATGCMGGTATCACACTACAAATTTTAGTCACTCAAATTACTTGCATGCATAACTGAAAAATACACACTTGGAAATGGAGTGATACATATTTTCAATGGTTTCACWTTTTATTTCAGTGTAAAAAATTTTTGGATCACAATTTACAAGGTTGAAGAGTAATAGTGAAGAAGACCAGGCAAACTCTGACTCTTACCACATTTCAGTGATATAGAATCACAGAATCTAAGACTAATTTAAGATGGAAAGGTCAAGTCCAACATGCTATTCAATTCAGATTTTAATTCAAAATTAAGCAGATCACCTTGTGCTTCCATATAAATTGAGTATGGAGGCAATAAATCTTTGCATATGAAAATTTCATATGAGTATTTACCATGAGTATTACCAAATACTTTCATATGAGTATTTGCCATATGAAACATGGAAACTCCACTGAGTTTTCACAAGTTACATGGGATGATTTTTTGTTGTAGGGTTCAAAAGAAGCCATAATAATCTAGAAAAATCWTAAATATTATTAAGAATGAAGTCTTCATCTAGAATTTCTGATTTATCTACAAAACTATAAAACAATGACAAAGGTAAAAAATTACATGGCCATGACCATTTGAAGTTTTGTTTGCAGAYTTTTTTTCCTGTTAGAAAGAGCTAAGAAAATCACAAAAAAAATAATGCCAGGAGTAATGGGAAGAGGTTATGTAAAATTAAGTGTCCAGAGATTCGAGTTGCTACCTCTGCCTTTGGTTACACAGATAAGAGCTTCTAAATAAAACAGAAATTGTTTTAAACTAGTGTGGTCTCATTGAGAGTCAAGTACCTTAGTCAAGGACCTTAAATTATTTTTAAAGAGGGTCACCATTTTATAAACAATCACATTATTTTTGCTGACAATATAAAATTAAAAAGGAGAGAAAAAATGTATGTGCCTACCTCAATATCTTCTTTATTTGCAAGAAYTGGTGCTTCCAAGATGTCTCGAAGGCAAAAGGTTTCAGATTCTATATCAAATTGTCGTCCTACTGTTTCAGCAATACGATCCCAGTGTCTTTGCTTCATTGCTTTGTCACACATCATTTCCAGCACAGAACAAATCTCAATAAAATCCTCAATTCTTTTCTTGAGATCTGAAAATGCTTGCCAGTGGTGGAGACCTTTAGGTAGTCTACGGCACCTGCAGTTAAAGTGAYACTGTAGTAAATGTCTTTTCTGTCAAAACAGAATTGCTTAAACAACAGTTTAAACGAGGAAATATCAAGTAGATTGTAGTAAGGTCAACATTTTCTATGTCTGCCAGCCTACCTATTCAGGAAAGCTAATATGAACTCACTACCGACAAATCATAATATTTAATAGTCTCAAACACAGGTATTTTCCCTGCAAATAAAAAACAAATTTAAAGCATAGCTTATCTGATGGTTATCATCAGAAACTCTTCATTGGAAAAGAAAGAACAAAGAAAAATTAGTTAAATTTCACACATGAAAGCTTTGTACAAATATAATATTTACTTAAATTTAAATACCACTAATACACATGGCACTTATTAACACGCCAATTTGGAGACAGACATGAAAATGAGATAAATATGACCACCTCCTCCACTTTCGGTTGTGGTTTTGAAGCTATTCGCTAATGAAAATTATACACATCTAGTGTGGAAAAAAGTCCTGAGCAGAACAGTTAAATAAATATCCATCTCTTTGACCACACTACTAGTGAGCCTACACACCAAGAACCGACCAGGTGACCTACCACGTGAATGCTTTATTGCAAATGATAAAATATATCCTTAGAAGGAAAAACAATAAAGCCTTGGTTTTGCATCCTTTCTCACTAATTTTTCTACCTCCTACTGACACAATTTCATATTTCCAATCAGGAACAGTACAGCAGCATGTGTGTGTCATAGTTATGTCAGTGCTGGGTGCTCACCAGTATGTCCATGTTAGTTAACTCCCTGCTTGCTGTCAAATTGGATGCTAAACACCTGCCTGCCTTCCTCCRAGGCAGAAAGTATTTTGTGCCTTGTTATTCTTTTGTTCAAAACCTAAAATCAATGGCCTAATCATCCCAGTTGAAGAACTCACCTCCAACAAACAAAATTTCAGTCCTCCTAACCTCTTGGCTGGTTTAGCAAATGAGATTGACACTTCAACTGATCATTTGCCCTTCAATTATCAAAGCTGCAGGTAAAAGGCTGGTTAGCTAGAAGTGTGGTGTTATTTCATTCTTTCTTGAGTAATCTAATTRTTTATGATAAAGCTTATTCATGGAAGCTTTGATAACTATATCAAATGGCTTTACTGAACTCACCTAAATCTTMATGCATTCAACATCTGTTACTGTGCATATTTTAAACATACCTGCCTTGAAATTCCAAAAGTTCAGTATTAATTTTGTCAGTATCTATGTCTGCCCAAAGTATGTCATTATAGCCGTTGATAGTGCCTATTACAGTATCATATAATCCATACAACTTCTGAAGCAAGCCCAACTCCTTCCTGGGAAAGAAGAAGCAATCATGCCAATAATTACAATCAGCTCTCTGAGTATCTCACATTACTTAAATACATGATATATGTAAAAAAAAAAAAAAAAAAAAAAAAAAAAAAAAGGAGGACAATTCGAGTACATTTCTTAATGCAGAAAATAATATTTCATAAAAAAATGCACAAAAAAGAGTAGATGGCTTTTGCTAAGGACCAAACATTCACGCTGAACATATTTGTGGAAAGTTTTGCTTTTGTCTAGTTCTCCAAAACTCCCATTAGTCCAAAAGAAACCAAGGTTATATGTCCTGAGGTGGCTCTGTACTGCAAAGCAGAGCATGGCAAGTGGAAACAACTAGTCAATTTACTTAGAAGCACTCTCTGAATCTGAACCAAAACTCTGCTCTAAAAACAGCCAGAAACAGTCAGATGTTCACCTGGCGTGAATATCATCAAACTATTGAAATAGCTCATGCAAAAACTTKAGAGTCTGATTATTTGTATAACTGCTCAAAAATTTAGACTTTCATAAAAGCTGTAGTTAAATTCTTAAATATATGATAGTCACCTTTCCTTACATTTTCTTCTTCAATTTCTACCATAGCTTAATATATRACACTGTATTTACATATCTAATTTTATATATACATTTCTATTTATATATATATTTCTATTGATATCTATATGTCTAGAAAACGTCATATTGCTCCTTTATATAGTATTTATACGCATTAAAATTATCTGGCATCATTCTGTTATAAYAATAAATAAATACAATTTTTGCACTGACAAATTCTTCAGAACTTTTAATTTACATTTAAGAATTTCTTTATTTTATTCAAGGCAATGGGAAACTTGTACTTGGTAWTATTTCCACATTTGGTGTAAGCCTAAGACTTTCTAACATACTCAATACACACTGAAGAMAACCATATTTCCACAGTTACCTGACTTTATGCAAAATGTCATAGTCTGTGACAGGCAATCCAAACAACCGTTCACCAGACGAGTACGTGATGTACTTTCTCCACATATCATCAAAGTAAGCCTGATCAAGTTATGTTTCGTACAAACCAAATGAAAACAGAAGTTTATATGATTTAATTTAAGACTGTCTAAAAATGAATCATTAAACAGTTTTAAACTTCCATTGACTCTATTAGAAGTATACGTAAAATAACTGGAAATATTTTTGATCTAAACAAATACGTAGCCTGARGGAAAACACCAGAGTGCCAAACAACACAATTACTTTCAAAGTATAACTGCTGTCCAAAGGATATGGTTGCCATAGAAAAATGAAAAGAGGAATGATTTTAGTATCCCTCTAATATGCATAASTACAAAGCATTCTCTTGGCWAAATAWGAAACACAGCAAATCTAACCAGAATCACTCAATTTTGATTACATAGTAGATGCATTAGAAGGATTAAGAACCTTCTGTTAGTCACTCAGTGCTTTTCATAAACTTTGAAGTTACTTTTTACAATCTACACAACATGTAAGACTGGCAAAAATACTACTCAAGTTACTAGAACTTGTAGAAAAAGGAAGAAGTATTAAAAAGAGAGCAAATACTGCTCATGGACCTGTGAATTAAAGTTCATAACAGACAAATAACAAGTTGAAAGACAACTGTCTAATGAAAAATCTGATCTTTTGAAGATTAGAAGATTGGCTCATGAYTGCTTTGTAACCTAATTTCTTTTCAGCCATTATCAAGGTGTCATAATTGACTCTTCCCTTTTCTACTGCTTTTATTACTTCAAATTGATAATTTCTGCTCACAAAATATAAAGAGAGAAGAAAGGTTATAGATCAACCAATCCTTCCATATTAAGGAAAGCATTACAAGAGAGAAACTAGAGTTCACATAATATTACACAGTATATCCAAATTATAATTTGTTACATTTGTTATTATAAGAAAGAGCAGATTTATTAATTAGTTGCAAATGCAACRATTTACTTTCTTACCTGAAAGACCTGCAGCCTCCTACTGGCTTCTTGAGGTGGAATACTTGGAACCATAGGCCCTTCCTTGCAAATTAGCAGTTAGAAAATTGWAAGTTAATTCTCAAAAGTGACTAAAGGCCACTCTATATTTACAGATCATCACAGAATATGTGGGGGGCTTTTTGATAAAATTCCAATCAAGTTATGTATCTTGATAGTGCAATACTCACAATGGTATATACTCACAATCTAAAAAAGGTAACTTTTATGCAATTGAAAATTCTTCACCTTAATTAAATTCAATAGGACTAGACTTTATCTTTTCATACTTAGTTATTTTGCTGAAAATGACAAAACCCACGCAGTGTTCCTTTTTAATGTTGTTGAGCGTGCAAAGATGCCTAAACATGTGCTACAGTTTCTAAATAAATTWGTAATTTATAATTATGATTTCATAACAAGTTGTACCACCAGGACTTCTTTTCTTTGTTTACAGAGTTGCATGCATTGCTATTTCTTCATATTGAGAAGTTTGACCTACAATGATGACTGCTTAGCAGCCATGGCATCAAACATCAGTAGCCGAGCAGAATAAAATTCTGGCAGCCAACTCCTGCAAACCAAAAACACTGAAAAAGTAAGCACAAGTCTCACATGTAACTACTAAATTAATTTACCGTTTCATACGCTGTTTCAAAATTTGATACTTCCTCCCGAAAAACCTCAACTGCTTCTAGCAACTCACTCTTAAATTTGGGCTGAACTTCAACCAACTCATCTTGAACTACAATCTGCCATGGAAAAGATTAAAATAAAAGTTATTTCTGTAAGAATCAGGAGCAGATATTTGAGTTATACATAAACCAAAATTMTAAATACAAGATATCAATTWTTTAACAAWAATTGATTATTTGAAGCTGAATAATTTTTTATCTTTTTATGGGGCTATATGTTCAGTTTTTTAGGAAAATGTAGGGAAAAATCCAAACCACCCCAACTGAAAATGGTAACAAGATCTCCTATTGACCTTTAACAGAATGGTTTCATTACAAGGGGGTGACAGAACAAGAAGATCCTATTCTCTTTCTTTTCTCCCTCCATAAACCTTGAACACCAAGCTATTAGAGTCATCTGCCTCACTGATGGCTYAGCCTTCTCTTTAAAAAAAATTCTTTTTCTTTGTTCAAAAGCTTGAGAGCTGGACAAAAATGTAAAACATACTTTTGAGTCCTTTCCTGAGTGATTAATCTGTGGAACAGGATATACCTTAATCAATTAAAAAAATTATCTACATATTTCCATTCCATTTCCACCWCCTCATTGCATAAAATACTCAATAATCATGGAGCTTTTGAGGGATATAAGACTGTCCTAAACAATAAAGGTAAATGTGCAACCACCACATAGGGGTAAGGACACTGGCAGAGTACACACTTCCTAGAACAAGATAATAAATTCCCTGAATGATACAGAAACTGGAATGAAGGAGAACAGAAAGAGCATTTCCCTTCAGGTTTGAAACATGTATCTAAAAGCTACAATAATATTTAAATATTAAAGATATCTTAAAAAAATAAATTCAAAAATGAATGTACTAATGGAAGAAATAGACAGTAGTGCATAACTAAYGTCAAGAGTGAGAAGCCAAAGGGATTCACAATTGGTCTCCTATTCTCATTCATAMTCTTAAGAAATTCACATGTTTTTCACCGATGGGAAATAATTTTATATACTTACAGCTTGGGCTTTTAATTTACTAAAAGCATATCTCATTGAATCAACACCTTCTGATTCCTCTTTTGTAATTTCCACTTGAAATGCATTTAAAATGCCATAGGCTTCCTAAATAAAAAAAAAATAAAACCTTAGGAATGTATTATAAGTTCATTTGAGGGAACATAGACCAAATTTTTTAAAAACACTTTGGAGAAAATCTGTTCATATATTTTAGGCATAACTAGTTTTTTGAAATAAGGATGAGGAATGAAGAACTAGGGAACAAAAGCAAAAACCTAGTTCTTCAGAGATATCTTGGATGAAATAATAGGAAAACATATATAATAAAACCCATAAATTTAATGTTAGAAAATAGAAAATATTATAATCTCAATAGTATTTTATTCCAATTATCTACATTCCAACTGAAGGCAGATTTTGGTGAATTTTTCCTGACTTCAAATAACTGTGCACACWAAGTTACAAATTTCTAAATATTTTGCCRTATCATCTAGAAAATCTTCATTGCTAAGTTTGCTGAACARTTAAATACATRCACATGTATCTATAATGGAATGAAYCTGTCTTAGTGCTTGTTCTCATGTGCATTTGTTTGCATATCTTCATGATTTTCCTTCTACACACACTGCATTATTTAAAAATAAGTTCATTTTTATATTTTATTCAACATTTGATGGACTCACTGCATTATGTCCATGTTTGCCTTGTATTGGRAAGCCCAGCACTGGACACAGCACTACAGATAAATCTCATATCCCAAAGTAGAGGGAATTATGTCCCTCAACCTGTTGAYAACACAGCTTGTAAAAGGTGCAGGAGACCCTTAAGCCCCTTTGTTGCAAGGGCACTTTTCTGGCTGCTGTGCACCCACAAACTCAGTTCTTTTACTGCAAAGCTGATTTCTACCCCAGCCTGCACTGGTGCCTAGGGTTGTTCATCTCCTGGAGGAGGAGAAAAAAGGATCTAAGAGTTACTTGTTAACATGACTAGCCCTACTGATATCGACAGAGGTCATTGTATTAATATAGAAAGGAAGTAAATGTTTGCAAGATATATGGAATATAAGTAGTTTGGGAAAGATCATTATCTTAAATATTCATCTCAAAGTGGCAGAAGCATACTAATAATAATAATAAACAAAAATGTTAATACTTCATATTTTTTAATACCTTTTATTTATTTATGAAGTTTGCATCATTTCCTACACATGTAAAACCTAGCAAGAAGACAGTSACAGTGCTGAACTCAGTTCCTCTTYCTTGTTCTATTTAACAGCTAGGAGTATGATTATTGTATTTTGAAGACTAATAACGTTTAGTAGATGTGAATATTACTTTAAATGTTTAAATTATTTATCAGGTTCTTCTTTTTGATGTAAGACTAAGACTTTCTAACAGTTGATACATACTTGAGAGAGCAGCTGTATTTCCAGTTCACCKCTACATCTTTTGATTACAGAATTGATTGCTTTCTTACAAACCACTGCATAAATTCTCTAACAAAACCCACTTTCTTACCATTAAACTGGCAAAAATGACAACAGTTACTGGAACTCCTTTCTAGTGTCATAGATCAGTTTTCAAGAAAGAAAACATTATTATACAGCAAAAAAATTTCTTCAAAAGATGGACRAAAATATAAAATTAATGTGTTCTATTAAGCTGCTTCAGAGAGAGATAATAAATACAAAGTACTATTAAAACATAATGAACTTGTTTTAACTTATTTCAGCTTCTGTCTTATAGAAAAAACTAAAAGACTCTTGCAAGTTTTTGACAGCACACCATGATGTGTGGCTCCATGARCATTCTCTGGCTATATTTCAAGGGGTTAGATAATCAAGATGTCCGTTCACACACAGAGAAAAGGTAAGAAGAGGGTTAAGGCTAAGAAAAGCAAAAGGGAGCATAGTGCTYCCTTGTCTTATGTTCTCATCTTATTTCTGCATGTTGTCTCCTAGACTGTATTTGTATTATAATTTGAGAAAGATTTTTTTTTTCTGTTTTGTATTAATACAGAATCTACCAAATTATCTAATTCATCATTTATAACTCCCCCAAAATAATATTTTGTTTCRCAGCTTCAGCCTAGTTCCTTCAAGACAGTGAACTCATTGTTAGAATTCAATGYTTATCTCATCCTGTGACAAGYACTATGCRTATTAYTATTATAAATAATAATATTTATTCAATATAACAAAYTAAAGTCATCTTACTTCAATAGGTCCCATAGTAAAATCTATTTCTGTTCTCTTATCTTGAATGAGAGCTAAAGCTTCCATTGCTAATCTGACGTCATCTAAGTCAGTCAGAGGTCGAGACAATCGCTGTAGGTATTCATTCATGAAMGACACCATGTCTAGCAATTTCTTCTTATATTCTTCATTTAAATATTGACAAAGRACCATCTTCCAGGAATTGGCTTCAATTGTTAAAGCGTTTTTCAGTGGTCCTGGTTTTAGAAAACAGGACAATTAAAAAAAAGACTCAATCTATATACAGCTGGATAAACACATCATGTGATGGGTGAGCAGCTGGCTCACGGGTTGGGCRTGAAGGGTTACAGTGARTGAGGTGACATCAGACTGGCAACCTGACACTGGTGGGGTTCCACAAGGCTCCACTTTMGACCTTGTGCTCTTCAACATCTTCATGAATGACTTGGACATAGAACTAAAAGGGTCACTGAGCAAGTTCGCAGACTAGGTGGAGATGTTGACTCCCCTGAAGTAAGGGAGGCCCTGCAGAGAGATCTCTACAAATCAGAGACTGGGCAATCACCAATCATGTGAAGTCCAACACGGGAAAGTGCTGAATTCTGCACCTGGAATGGGGCAACCCTGGATGTATGGACAGGCTGGGGAATGAGATGCTGGAAAGCAGAGYCAGGGAAAGAGATCTGGGGATCGTGGTCGATCACAAGCTGAACATGAGTAAGCAGTGCCCTGGCAGGCAGGAGGGTCAACCAAGGCCTGAGGGACCTCAGGCTGGGATTGCCCTGTTCTGCTCTGCTCAGGAGTGGCCTCACCCCAAGTGCTGTGTGCAGTTTACATTGCACCACAATGTAAGAAAGACATTAAACTGTTAGAGAGCATCYAAAAGAGGACATGAAGATGATAAAGGGCCTTGARGGGAAGTYATATGAGGAGTGGCTGAGGCCACTTGGTCTGTTCAGCCTGGAGGAGACTGAGGGGTGRTCWCTTCTCTGTGGTGACCAGTGACAGGACACGGGGGAATGGCCTGAAGTTGTGTCAGGGGAGGTTTACATTGGATATTAAGAAAATGTTCTTCACCTAGAGGGTGGTTGGGCATTGGAACAGGTACCCCAGGGAAGTTGTCACAGCACCAAACCTGCCAGAGTTMAGGAAATGTTTGKACAATACTCTCRGRCATGYRGTGYGACTCTTGGGGATGCTCCTGTKCAGGGCCAGGAGCTGGTTTCAATGATCCTTGTGGGTCCCAYTCGACTATGCATCTTYTGTGATTCTGTGACTTTTTTACTCATTATCTTACTGTACATAGTAAGATAAGAAAATGTCATACCTGTGTGCAATTCAATTGGACCAAGAAGAATAACAGGTTTTAAATTTTTCATCTCTTGCTCAAACGTATCATAGTGAAGTATTTCTTCTTTAATTTCAGACAGGGAGGGATCAGTAGCAAAAAATTCCTGTGTGCAGTTTAAAATGTCAATCAACAAATATCCTTTTCCATAATTTTGGTAAAACATGTTATAACTGTTATTCAGTAATTACTGAAAATGTATACCAATATTATACCTTGTTTTAGCCTCCTGAAGCCTTGCTAGCACAGTAAAATGAATGTTTATAAATTTCTCTGTCAATAATGCTCAAACCTGTTTGGAAATTCCAACCAAATTTAACAGAGAAACAGATATTCAAGGCATATTAARGACCTATTTTTCTGGCAAAAACAGATGATGAAACAGAGGTCAAATATATGGCCATACTTACAGAAAGACTACCTCATTACCCAATTATGTGTAAAATGATCACAATAAAATACGTTTTCTAAGTAGTTTCCTGAGCAGAACTCAAAGGTAGAAAAGTTTTGTGATTCTGAAAAGCTGCATTTCAGAAATGTTACTTTAGACCTCTATTAATTATGCTTACATTGCATGGGCAAGTAATAAATGCTGAAAGCTTTATCCCACTTCTACTGTTCTGTCTGAAAGTACCCAGACAGGCAGCGGAAGGGCTAGCATAGCGGAAAAGGAAGAATGAAGTAATTAAAGCATGTGTGTATAAAATTTAATTGCTTTATTATTGAGGCTTTCACTAGAGTATCCTATTCCTCGGCAGAAACTAGATCAAGCAAATAATATTAATTTGATTAGACTTAAAATTTTAATTAGACTAACAGCAAATTTTCAGTCCTTCATATGAATTGGTGGCATTTTAGCCCACATAAACTGATCTTGAATTCTAATATTTCRTGTTCAATACAGCCAAGGCTGCCCTTCAGCTTCACATTCCCCCCCAGTTCCTCCTCCTTATTGGTGAGAACAAGGTACAGCATGGCAGCTCTTCTTGCTGGCTCTTCAGTTCCTCAGAGAAAGAAGTATCATCAATTCATTCCAGGAAGCTCCTGGATTGCTTRTGCCCTGCTGWGCTGTCCCTCCAGSAGACACCAGAGTGGTTGAAGTCYCCYATGAGGATCAGGATTTGTCACTGTGAGRMTGCTCCTGTGTGTCTGCAGAAGGTCTCATCTGCTTGCATTTCCTGGTCAGGCAGCCTGCAGCAGACCCCCACWATAACATCACCTGTCCCTGCCCTCCTTTTAATCCTGACCGGGTTTTCCCTGTCTAGCCTTCCAAAAGAGCCTGTGTCTCTCCATTCCAGCACTCCATCCACTCCCTGGAGCCATCCCACCATTTCTGTGATACCACTGGCCTTGCAGGTGTGTGTGTGTGTCTCTAACGCCTCTTGTTGATTCCCCAGGATATTGATTCCCCAGGATTGAGACATACCTCATATCACACTGGGTTAGTTTGTCACAGCCTAAAATCCAGTGTTACACAAACAAAATAAAGCAACTRCCAGGTTTTTAGTATCTAGAATGGCACAACAGCAGGAAAAGACAAACCACAACACCAGAAATCAGGTAACRTGCTATTACTTCTCTTTAGGAGACGTACTATTCCTATGAAATGATAAAACAAGAATTTCAGCTGTAAATGGGTTTTCTACATATTTTTCCCTTGATTTTCCCCTATGCTTTCTGATTTCAAAAGGTAAGATTATTGAAGAACAGTCCTGTAGGTGATCATCAGTAAACTGACCTGAAATATGGCATCTTTATCTTCTGTCCACAACACCTTATATTTATCAAACTCCTGCAGAGCTTCACTAGCTACTTCTTCTAGAGCACTCCCAGCAGAAGAGAGGATAACAATTATTTTGGTAATAGCTTCATTTTCTGCAACACCTGCATAAAAATTCTTCAGCTTTTTGACAACCCTTTCATCAGCTCCTTCTGTAAAATAAAATTATATATAAATAAATGAACTGTTAACAGTCAGATTAGAATTCTCTTCTAAACCTATGCATACCAAGATGATCAAGATGCTCTTCAGTAAGGTTGAATATCCTTCAAACATCTGACTGCCTAATGTGATGTACCATCTGCTAGCTCATACCAGGCACTATACTGCTAGAGCAAATTCAATCCAAAATGAAGGTTTTCAAATGTGAAGAAGATAGTCTTCTTCATTCACAAATTTAGTTTTCTCCATTTTAGATTCATTGTAAGCAGAATATCAAAGGCCTCATAAACATTCCACATTATTTCATTATTTTTTAATTCTGATAATTAAAGTTTTTWAATTGTATATACTGCTTAAATATACATAAACATGTATATTTACATATGTAAATATGTGTGTAAGCTTCCTGAACTCTTTGATGAATTGCTGAGACAATCAGGGTCAATACAGAAGCAGATAYTCTTGAGATGTGGCAAGCTACTTCTGTCATAAGAATGCCTGAGCATTTTGAAGCAGATTTCAGAGAATGGAGAAGTAAAATCCACCCTTCCTACTACATACATTGATTAATGAGGGGATTTAAGGAACTCCAAGTTCTCTTTTACTCTGAAGACAGTTTTCTGGGTCTGCTCACTGGAAATAGTCTCAGATTGATCCATCTTTAACAGTGTACTCCATAAATCTAATTTCCCAACCATTACCATRTGCCCCAGTTGTTGCTGACATCTACTTAAAGGTGATGAAAATGGTCACTTGCTGATGATGTATTTTGACAAAGCAGAGGAAAAGACTGTGACTGTCTGATGAGGATTGTTTCCTGCACCCTGCTTGAAGCCCATTAAAAGAGCTTAGAATCATACAAGACACGTCATTAGAAGTCCAAAGCACCAGCTCTGGACTGGCAGAAAGAAAAGCTTTCCAAGATGTTACAGACTTGCCAAAGGAATTGTAACAAAGATGAAAATGGATTGCATATCACTGGGCCAATCAAACAGCTAAGAGAACCCAATGGCAAAAATATATTTAGGCTTTTATGGCTGCTTGCAAATTGTATGGAGAGATGCCTRGAAACAATACTAAGGAATGAAGCATTTGACCAAAATGGATGTAGGTCTGTCTCCAGTCTGACTATTCACATGAAAAAATATTTGATGTGTTTTATAAACTAATMTAGCAATATATTCAGCATTTAAAATCTTTACTGAAATCTAGCTCTGTTTCTATCTCAATATTTCAATGAGACTTAGTATAAAATCATTGCTTATGTTTTCAACTACATAATTATGGCTACATTCCACAATAAGTAGGCAAAAAGATTGATTGGTAAGCTTACTTTGCCTGAAATTAAGTAAAAKATTCAGAATCTAGCAATTTTTCCAAGATTTTTTTGCTTATTGTTTTTCAGAGTTCTAATACTTATATAACCCTGAAAAGCTATTTCTGACAAAYACAGATAATTAAACCAAAATAAACCCCAAAATTAATGTAAAACAATCCACAGTAGGCTTCTCTGAAGAAAAGCGAGCTTATTCACAAATATTTAGCATAGTTACTAAAGAAAAAGTTTAAGTAAAAAATAAAAACATACAAACAAACCACTTACTTTCCACTCTTTTGCCTTTTTTTCCTTGTGATGAAATGCCTGCAGAAGCTTGCTGCGTGCCCGATTCTGGTTTTAAAATAGATTTTTGCAAATGTCTCTGTCCCCACTGAGCAACTCCACGACTTACTTCCAGTGTTAAGTGAATCATGCGATTGATGGCATGCTGTATTTCTTCCAAACTGGGAACGATTACCTTTTTAAAACAGTTGAAATATTGTTGGAATAAATGCAACCAATTGTCATTTTTGAGACCTCCCTTTTACTGTAGTGAATTGCAGAGGTTACCCCAGAAGAGAAGCTGGGAAATACAATTCTAGCAAGATTGTCTGGCTCAGAATTGCTTCTAAAGAGATGATACATACTGTAGTGACCTACTAACTACTCATCCAGTCATACTGTGAGTGAAATGGCAATCAAGTTTATAAGCAGRTTGATTTATTGGCTTTTTAATTATTTTAAAAATTTCTACAATATTTTAAGCAGCATTTTTGTAATAGCTTTTATATAGCGTGTGGGAATACATTAAAAGCCTCGTTTTTCACACACTAGAATAACAAAGCATTAGGAATTGCATGCTACGATACAACCACCACATCCCATCCTTCTCGGGCCTCCCTGTGGTCTCAGAAATGTCAATATGAACACCAGTTCAATGTCAAAGGAATATCACCTTAGAAAAGGAATATCACCTTAGAAACTGACCATTATTTCACTATAATTTCAGTATAAAACTCTTAATCTTTATAAAACATTTAAGTGATATTAAGTTACCTTCTCTCATAAAATAAAAAATACATATTGCTGACACATAGTTATCTTATTCCATGGAAGAAAAAGAAATTAATGCTTTAGTTAATTGCAATGGAGCTGCCTTTTTCCCCTGCACACAGAAATCCACAGTTCTTTTTTCCTCGGTTTTGAATCTTCTATTTTTGTTCAGTATTCCTCATTCTGGTCACCTAACTTCTCATTTAGGTGACTAAAGCCAAAGTGCGCAAAGATAACATTCATCATTGAAATTCAACAAAAGGATTTAGATTACATAAGAGTTAAAATAAATAGTAATAATAATAAAAATAAAGCAACATRAAGAACCTGTTCCAGTAATGCAACTGCACGTGAGGAGCACTGTAATCATTCTGCAAATGAACGAATCATTCTGCAGATGAACAGATTGCAGAGTAATTGTTAAACCACACAAGGTGAAAGGCCAGGTTCTGCAAGTACCACTGAGACAGAGACCAGAACACTGCAACTGTGAGCACATTTCATCAGTGCTCTTGGAGCATTGAAAGATGTGAGCAGCTGCTCTCCCTTGGAACAGGTGCTGGTTCAGTGGAAGTGTGCCCACACCCTGCACTCAGGCAGATGCAGAGGTAACGATAAAACAGTGTATTTTACCTTACCTACATGACATAAAACTTACCAGATTGGGAATCTCAAGGTGTACTTCTGCTTTTAGAAAAGGAGCGATGTCCTCAGATTTGCTGAAAATAATTTTGACACAAATCATAAACACTTCACCACAAAACCTCCTCAGATTATCTGAGAGATATAATTTTGAGCTACATTTTCTGACTAAACCCACATGGAGAGTTTTCACATTAAATCATGTACTAATTCCAAAACCCACAGTAGTTTCTTGTTTCAAGGATAAAGAAAACAACGAGAGCTTCACCATTCTGACAAAGGCTAGTTTGGATCGAGCCACTGCTTTCAGAATTTTTTATCCATATTGGATAAAATGGATTTTAATCTCTCAGGTTCAGARTGATGGAACTCTGCCAGTGCTTTGAATAGGGCATAAGAAGGTCTCACTGATCATTTCACGCAACAAACTATCAAGATTAAAATTTTCCCATGTTATATTAGATAAATACTCAACAGAATGGAAAAAAAAGCTTTAAAAGCTAATGCAAAATGATAAAAAACATGATGTTAGCCTATTCAAAACAAAAATTAAACCTAAAAACAAATAGCAAAGTAAAATTTGAAATGCTGTGGTATGACATAATGGCCAAATAAGGAAGGATTCAACAATATAAGACAGCAGACAAATATGAAGGAAACATCCAAAAATTTCCTATGGACTTCGATAAGGATTTCAATAAATTTTAAAATGAAAAATGTCCTTAGAAAAAGAAAAAAAAGTAATTCAGACTTTAACACATATTAATGACAAAAGGTAATAAACTTCACTTGCTCAAAACAAATTCTCATAATAGAATTCTAGGTAGGCTTTTCAATATACAATATATTACACTGAAACATTTCTGTCCCTGAAGCCTATGCCTGTCTGAGCAGAGAAGAATCTACAYAAAGTATACTGAATATAGCAGACTGATTTTGTATGGATCTTGCCATTATCGTGATGAATTCATAGAGTCCATACTGTTGAAGGGATCTTCCATTTGCAACTTACGCTGTGACACTCATTCTTCTTTTAATACGATCCAAAGACATTCGGGTCGCTTTCTGGAGGCTGATCAGCAGTCGGCGACTGAAATAGGACAGTAAGTCCCTACAGTTCTGTAATAAATTAACCACACATTATTTGGTATCGTATTCACACAGGAACCTGAAAATTATTGCACATGGTTCTAAGTCAAATCTAATAGATTTTGTYGGATGGAATTTATGCTGTAAGCTGCATGAAAAACACAAAGCAAGAAGTTGGGGGGAATTAGTTTATAAGTAAGTAAATAAATAAAAGCTACATGGAAAAGAAAACAGTATGTGAGGAAACAATTTGTCTTTTTCTGATACAGAATACAGAAACTTATTTTAAATATCACACTCCTTGAGAAAAGCTCTCCATATTAAAAAAAAAAAAAAAAAAAAAAAAAAAAAAAAAAAAAAAAAAAAAAAAACAAACACAAAACCCATGAATTATTCAAGAATGTTGGTGCATATGTACCCATTCTGAATAAGAGACAAGTACCACAGAATCCAATTGGATAAGAAGACTATGAAAATATGGCAACATGAAATGATCACTCTTACAAAAAACAATATAACGTTGCAGCATTATTACATTTGTGCTTGCAAGTCTTTGTCCCGTACTTCTACTTTCCTTCTCTGCTGAATATGAAGAGGTGGAATTCTTCATGGAAAAAGTGCAAAGATTCCTTTCTTGGTGAAGTTGGAGAAGGACAGAAAGGATGAAAGTTCCTTTCTATCCAAGAAGGAAAGCCTGTGTTATGGCTTAGGCACATTATTCTCTCCAATTTTCACACTTATCGCTGGTATCAAGAATTTGTTTTACAAAGGTGATAATTGTAATAACAAGCAATACAATTGTGAGAGCTAAAATCCATCTTAAATTCACATTTTAGGTAAGCTATTTCATCATTTGTACATTACATTTGATAATGGCCTTGTGATGTCTTTCGGTAACATAGATATGCAGCTACCAAAATTCAAGATGCTAATCTGATTGGTCTAAATCAGATTTAGATTGGTCTAAATGATTGGTCTAAAAAATAATTTCCTTGCTAATCTGATTGGTCTAAAAAATAATTTCCTGATTTTCACAAAATACCTTTTTAAACTCTTCTTCTTTATCATGGCCCTTGCTATCATCACTTGGAGGTCCTTCAGCAGCAGCTTTTTCTTTCTCCTTTTCTTTTTTCTTTTCTCCTTTTTTTTCTTTATCAAATGCTATATGTTTTCCTGTAAATTTGAAAAAAAAATAATTTTTGTAATTCCATATATGCTCTGCTTTAAAGCATGCTGTCCCCTCATCAAAGGCAAGACAATACTGACTTTTATTTTAGTAATACCTACATAACCAAAAATGGATTTTATTTCACAACAMTTTTTCACACCAGAAGTGTGGTTGAGTCCAGCCTATAAGCCTTAACCAAACAAACACTACCAATGCACTGCCAATCTGTTGTTAAAGGTAGATTGGTAGATATGGATGTATCAGGGAAAACAAACAAAAAAAAAATCAAAATTGTTATAAACAATCCAACAACAGACAGAGAAGTATCTTTCTGTCAGCTTTTTCTGTTTGCACCCCATGGAATCACCTGGATTATTGACCCTGACTATGCCTCTATAGCTGGCAAAATCTGAACCCAGAAAAAAAAAATTCTATGAAAGAAAAGAGCTCCATTACTGATTAAGCCTCAAAAATATTTTTTTCTTAAAACAGTATTTTTCTTCAACTACTTTTCTTGTACTGTACGGGATGTTCTAAAATCTTTGTGAGACACCCCAAAGGAGTGGGAACCAGCCAYACRTGTGCCAGCAGWTGACCATACTAATTTAAACTGACCYGCCAGCAAAGCACCCRTGTTTGAGACATAATTCTACTGYGGCAGGAAAGTAAAAACCAGAAGGACCATACCAAAMAGSTGACACAGYTSAGAGGAGAGGAACAATGTATTTCATTTATGGCTGGGGGGTTGTGAAGGAGGACAGTCATGTTGAGTGACAAAGAGAAATGGGACTTTAGTGCTCTTCCTCTAGGGCAAATGCTTTCCTACTCTAAACAGAAGGACAGATTTTAACTCCAGAAACMCCACCAAAACTGTATTTCATGAGCTAGTGGTTTAGTTTAACAGTGGTTAAAGAAGGCAGAATGGTGACACARATGAAACTGTAGTGGGAGGGAGAAGTCTTAAAAAAATTAGCTAGAACAGATCAGTTTTGATGAAAACTAGCTAAATCTACAGAACTTTTTATTTAAATAAGCARCATTAACTACCTGGTGTCTCTGCGGGCCTAGAAGGTGGAAATTCATAATTCTTTTCAAATATATTTATTAGTTCTTGAACAGCATCTTCAATGTGCATGCTTTTGATGTTCAATGACTCAGCACATTCTTTAGTATAATCCTGTTAAAWAAAAATATCAATGAATTGTCTTACTATCACTAATTATCTTATTACTGTTCCTCTTCATGGAGATTCAAAACATTTCCCTGAAAATTGCATTCATCAGACCAAAACTATTTAAATTAAACATATATATTTATTAAAATATAATTATATATTTATAAAAATCTTCTATTATCACCATACTTTTAATGCCTAAAAATTTCCATTTTTGAAATATAATGGTACTTTTAGGTGCTCAAAATAAATCCTGAATATTGAAGGGARGCCACAGTCTGAATCTGAAATTACCCAAATATTGTTTCAACTATCCTTAATGATTTTATTTCCTTACACTGATTTGATATTTAATACATTTTTAGCCTATCTTGGAACAASAAACCTTTCAGATATTCAAATATACTTTTGGAAAGTATTTTTTGCCTTCTCCTTTTTAAAAAATTGAAAAAATAGGGGAGAATAAGGGCTATTTATGTCTGAAGTCCTTCATAYACAAAAAATCTCATCTATTTACAAAGCACTTAAATAAGATTTTCTATGAAATACTACAGCTTAAATATCTCAAATACCAAAGAACCAATGTATCTTCATATTAAATGTTTCAACCAAAATAATTTAATTACTAATAAAGTTCTGTATTTCCACATAGAGAATTATTTTTTTAGTTTTATTTTCATTTACTAAGGCATTTTTTTCTAACACGCCCTAGAATTGAAGTTGAAAAATGTAAAGTGGCACACACCTCATTGTCAATCAACAGATCCTCTATTTCGATAGGAGCATCTACTGGTAAGCTAATTAAAGAAGTAGTTGATATTTCTTTTAATATTGAACCAATCTGCACTTCACTTAAAATAATAACCTAAAAGAAGAAAATCACATTAATACCACACACTTATCCATAGAGCATAATGTATTCTATTTTAGAGAGCTCTAACAGCTAAAAAAGGTTTAGCAGAAAAATAAATGCAAGAAGGTTACAGAGTAGAAGATCCTCTAAGAAAGTGAGTAATAACAAGAGTTATGCTAACTTGAGGATTATTCACAAAGGCTAGACTCCCAAAAATCTTGGCTAGTTTAACTGCAGTTTTAGGCAGACAGGCAGTAATGAAAGTCAGAAGATCATTCCTGAAATTCAAGACACACTTGCTGCTAGAGTAAATAAAACAGAGTACTAAAACAAGCTACATCAATATAATTAGATTCTTGTTCATGCTCTTACTGACCACAAATCTAGCAGCAAGGCAAGGTGGGGATCTACTGTGAATTGCTTGATGGGTTAATCATCAGTCTTTCTCCTTCTTTTAGTTACCATAGTTTTTTGCAGGGTTTTTGATTTTAAATTGCAGCATTATTACTAYACAGTCAACTACAGCAAATTATTTTTGCCATGGCAGAATCCAAGTAAAACTGACTTTTAACCATTTATCTGAAATAGTTTGCATTTGTGATATTCCATCTTATTTTTCACAATATACCTCATGTTTCTGTTTCACATCACTTTTTTCCTATTTGTCAACAATACCCCATTCACAGCAATCAAGAGTCTAATCTTAAAATCTTAGCTAATCTAATCTCTTGAAGAGTCTAATCTTAAACTTTTTAAAATTTATATGGGAGGGAAAAGTAAAAAAAAATGCATACAATCTAAATATTTAAGGAAAATAGAATGTTTCTACATAAAAACATGGTTATTTCAGATATACTCAGGCTTACAAAACTGTTCATTTCTGACACAGATAATMTTTTTCCAGCTTTGAGTTTCAGTTGCAAACAGAGCATTTGATCATAGATACGATTTTCTACCATACATAAAAAGAACTAGATATAATGACCAGCAACTAACAATCTCCTACCATATGGGACACAATTTATGATATTCATAGAAAAAAAGAGTCATAGAATTTAGCCACAAAGCCAGAAGGGCAATATGACTGTCAAGGTAAATTCTTGAGAATAAAACAAGCCAATACAAGTCCTTGAGCATGTTAAATCACAAAATCATGGAATACCAGGTTGGAAGAGGACTTCAAGGATCATCTTGTCCAARCTTTCTKGGCAAAAGCACAGTCTAGACAAGATGGCCCAGTATCCTGTCCAGCTGAGTCTTGAAAGTGCCCAGTGCTGGTGAATTCACCACTTCCATTGGGAGATTATTTCAATGGCTGACTATTCTCATTGCAAAAAATATTTCTCTAGTGTCAAATTGGAATCTCTCCATGAGTGACTTGTACCCATTACCCCTCATCTTTTCCATGTAAAAAGGGRGTCCCCATCTTCCTTGCAGCCCATCTTCAAATATTACACCATGATGATAAGGTGTCCACTAAACCTTCTTTACTAAAAAGGCTGAACAAATCCATTTCTTTCAGCTTTTCCTCACTTGTCAGGCTTCCCAGTCATTTGATCATCTTTGTGGCCCTTCCCTGAACCCCCTCCAAATCTCTTCTGCRTAGGAGGGACCAAAACTGAACACAGTGCTAGGTTTGGCCTGAACAGCACTGAGTAAAGGGGGATGGTGACTTTTTATCTTTGCTGGTTGATGCCCTTGTTGATGCAACCCAGCATCCTGCTGACTTTCTTTGSTGCAGCAGCACACTGAGCTTGTTAGCCACCAGGTCCTTTTCCACAGAGCTGTTCCCCATGTCAGACAGACTTCAGCCTATGCTGCACTCCTAGATTATGTTTGCCYAGGTGCGAGACCTTGTATTTGTCCATGTTAAACTTTATAAAGTTCTTGCTAGCCTACCCTTCAAGCCTATTCAGTTCTTCCTGGAGGATGTCTCTCCACCTTCCCACTCAGCTAGGTATCATTGGAAAACTTTGCCAGGGTACACTTGATCCTATCATCCAGATTATTTATGTAGATTTTAAATGTGAAATCAAAAGAATTAAGAAATCATGTGACAAACACAAGAAAGTAAAAGAGCACAGAGCAGCATGCAAAGAACTGTGAAGAAAAAGCATACTCTCCATTATTTTACAGGCTTCACAAAGAGGATGCATGCCTGATATGAATAGAGTTAATGTTCAAAAAATTCTCCACTGAACAGTTTTTACATGGAACTGTCTTTTGTGCAGCTGCACCACTGGACAAGCACTCAAAGACAAGCAGGCATTGACTCTGAAAATCAGAGTGAAAGCCCCAGAATCTGAAGACAATCTACTTTAAGGGCAAAAGTAAAAATCAAACATATGATGGCAATAATGGGCGAGAATTATTGAGTATATCCCTATTCCAGAAAAAGAACCTATTTTAAATAGCAACAACATTTCTTTGTATGGTACAAAAATAAGTCCAGATTATGTTCCAAGATCCTAGAAATAATTTCTGTAAGCTTTTCATTTTTTATATATAGTGARCAAATGTGTACCTTTCTCAAAAGCTGTCTATATACATGCAGAACTTCATCAGCTTCTTGAAAGAAAGTTTCCAGTGTCACAGATGCCCAAGTCAACATAGTAAGTCCTTGCCTCAACACACCTTCCATCTAAGCATWAAGATATCATTTAAAACCAACAGAAAACAATTAAAACAAATGCCATTATTATTATACTCACTAACATTGCTTATAAAACAGAGTGGTGTKCAAGGGAGGTTACAAGTTACCAAAAAAAAAGTCAAAGAAATTTATGCAATAGGAAGGAAGGGGAGGGTAGTGCATACTACAACATCTGGTTTTTCTGTTTCTCATACCTCAGCCCAATTTTGTAGTTATACAAACTTAAACAAACTCTGCAGTCTTTTGGTGTTACTGCTTACAACCAAAAAGAGGAGAGTTACTTAGAACAATCACATACATATGCAGACATTGTAAGTGTCTGATAAAATAAAATGGCTTGTGGGACGGATATTCTGCATCTCCAACAAAACYGTTCCTTTAGTGTAGCACATAACGTCATCGTGTAGCATTCTACGCCACTGAAGAGACTCAACTGACAAGGCTAACAATTCTCTCCAATCAAACCTCTATATTAAAACCAGAGATTTGTAGACATAAATAGACCATAAAGACTGTATTTTTGTTCTACTGGTCTTACTACGCACTAAAATTATTTAATTGTAATACATTATTTGAGAACTGTATAAGGGATGCAAAGAGTGAATTTCTAGTCTTAAAAGTCTTAGTAAAATTAAGTACACAACATGTAGATCCAGCTAAATATTTTAAAATTACAAATTATTTTAACTTATTATGAAATACACTCAAGTGCATACAGCAATACCAACCCTTTTCATTTTTGGTGTCATTAGATTTACAAAAATGTTCGGTGTTTCTTTACGCAAATCTTCATAAGCCTGGACAATACCCTGTCAATTATTAGAAATTATTAGCACACAAATATTATTGTTTGTATTTGCAAACAATTTTAGAATTTTACACAGACATTACATACCTATGAACAGCATTTCTGGAATGTAATGAATTTGTATCATACTACAGAAGGAAGAATGAAAGCYACCTCTGTGCAATGGCTTTCATAAAGCACAATGCCTTTCATAAGGCACAAAGCCAGAAAAAGTATGATCTTTGTCTAGAACTAAAGACAACTTGAGCTTTAGCGACCATGACTTGCAATACCTGCTTAAAATGGAGTATCATATGCGTTAGGTGCTTAAATCAGGTGTGAACTCAAATTTAGAATATCCTCTTGTCTTATGATACACACACACACACACACACACACACACACACACATACACACAGAGAAATCTTGTATAACTTCTCATCCCCAAAATACAGGCTTCTTGAAAAAAACACTATAGCAGATACTATGTCAGGTATAAAAAACGTAACTTCTCTTGCAGGTAACCTGYGAAATTCTTCACATTTTTGTGGCTCACCGTATCTTCCAAACCAAACTAACTACAGCCTTTCTTCCCAAAAACTCTATAAAACTGCATCTTACTGACTTTCAGGCAGTGAAAACTCCTTGGATATCTTTAATTGTTTCATGTTCGAAGTATACTAAGTGTGCCATTGGGTATGTTAAATATATATTCTTATATTTAAGTATCTACCAGCCCATACAGCACTTAGCAGGGGGTTTTCAAATGAGATCTTCTATGTCCACCTCTGCAGTCTACAAATTTACCTTAAATTATTTCTTACTCAGCTTTAATATTTTACTATTGAAAATATCCTACAATTAAACATACTTTCCTTTAAATTTTTCCAAACAGCAATCATGACACTTTCSAAGTTTACCTCTAACTGTGTTTTGTTTGCCTTCAGTTTATCTTCTATTATTGCTATCTTGACTGCTTGCTCTGGTACKTCCAGACCCAGCTTTAGCATACATTTGGTCTCTCGCACAATCTCCAGAATGTGGGGATCAAAATTTACCAGRAACTTCTCCGTTTTAGGATGACGCACAAATATCGTGGATTGTAAGGCTGTAAAGACATTCTAGTATCTAATCCTTTCTAAGGCAAAGGATTGCTTATGTTCTATGAATTGTTACGAAATCCAGATTTCTAATATTMCTGTATGGTGATTAAGTATGTATGGTTATTTGTGAAATAGCTTCATGCTGTTTCCAGTTAAAGAAAAYACACAACTGACTTCCATCATATTAACTTTCAGCCTGTCTCTTCATAAACCAAACAAGCCTCAGATCCAGWCATAATTTTTTTCAGYCTAATTWAAAAAATTATGRAATTCATTTTCTAAGGACCTKGAAACACAGTGAATATCAAACAYTRCTAGGCATTAAGTAATAMWTGTCCTTAGAGGGACTGAAGCAATACAACCTTATGAATAATTATACTGGAAAGAAAACAGAAAGAATTCTTAAATACTACACATGATGAATTTAAATACCAAAGTTATCTATGTYTTAAATTTGTCACTACTGTTTATATTCATCTGCCAAATAGGGTACTAAATATGCAATCCTCTGCACCAAAACCAAGTTTCAAGGCCAGTAAGTCACTGAGTCTACTTGCCAGATCTTGATTTAACTTGTACATTTTAAGGGTAAACAAGGCTTTAAAAAATATCTGATTTGAYTTGTGTGAACTTAGTATTCAACAACAGTTTAAAGAAGCAAGTACATATTTAATTACTTACGATACTGTAATTGTGACATTTCCTTCACCCATGCATTATGATAGACTACCTCGAACTCCACCAATACATAGGCAAGTTTGTTGTATGATTGAACAACTGCTTTACCTTCTGGACTTGCCAAGATATCCGAATGTTTCTATTAAAACACAGTACATTCAAATTAATACTACRTCCAAAAACACCCATACCACTTGGGTTTTTCCCAATTCAACTATTTTCTACACATAGTCAAAGTTAATACTCTGAATTATACTGATAGAGTTATTAAAAACTCTATCAGGTRCTTATGATTCAAATTTAAGGGGCAATAAAGTCAGTAAGAACTTGTAAGGAATAAATACTAAATATTTAACACCAGTAAGAGCAATTATTTTAATATACTGTCATAAATACCTGCAATTCATAGTGACATGGATRCTCAGTTCTACCCAAAATTTAATAACTGAAAATTTGGTGTAAAAATTTCATTTTTTAACCAGTAATGATATTGATGCCTGTTTTCCCTTAGAACACATTTCCATGATCATTGTTCATATTTGAGGGAAACAAGAAAGTGAACACCCCTCTCACACAAAATTTAACTTTGCAGGAGACCTTAGACAGTTTGTAGGAGAATGATTCAAACATTTCAAGAATTCTTCAAGATTCCTTTCAACTGAAATAGTCTAGTCTGTTCAATTTTAATACCACATCTTGGATCTACAACAAGGGTTACTGCAGAGCAGTATACACATAAAAAGAAAAATGCTGCATGGCACATAAAAAGTGATATAATCATAACCAGAAACTTTATGATCACTCTACTGAAGCAAGACAGTTCACTGTTACACAAAACACCAAGTTTTTGGTCACATCAACTTACATGGAAATAGCTGATAGGTTCATTTATCCTTCTGAACAGCTGTCTCACCCACAATATCCTTCCTGCAACAGGTGGCATGTTCCGAGCAAGAGGAGGGTCATCCTTCTGAGTCTGGTAAATCTGCAGTAAGAACAACATCATTAAACACATGGATTAAAAAAATCTATTGAAATGTTAAATTGTTTTCTCTGGTAGCACAGTTTCTTCTTCTTCCCACAGATTAAATTCACATAGAGTCACACAGTACTTCATTGAGAGAATAATTTATTTCTTCCCCAACTTGGTATGCTTCAAAGATCCACACAATGATATCATTGCTGGTATCTCTCCTGTTCTCATTGTCTCATCCTGTTTCTCAGCTGTGCTTGCTTAGGACAGAGACCTGAGTACACCAAAAGGCATTGCAGACTCGGGCTGAGCAGCCAGCATTCAGGACCAAGTCTGACATCTGACTTTGAATTCTTCTGCTGGAAAAGCAAGCTGTTTGAATAAGTGGTCTTGGGAGACCTCTTCTGGGGTTTTGCTCCTTTGCTCGGGAACTGGCCTCAGGAGAGGTCCAGGCTATATTGCCAACTGACAGCTTTCTCCTACAGACTAGAAAAAATCAACACTGTTCTTCAGACACATGTATCTATTAGCTAATGTTTCAGGATTTGGACTCAATGATTCTTGTGGGTTCCTTCCAAATCAGGATAATCTAGGGTGCTATGATATGCACTTTTCTACTAACTTCTAATCAATACACATATAGATACCCCTGGGTACACAGCCCATGCTTTTATCTGTGCCCAAGATGAGAAAAAAGTGTTCTCTGCTCAGTGAATGGCTGCATTAGAGAAAAACAAAAACAATAGAAACAACAAAACCCACCAAAAAAAAAAAAAAAAAAAAAAAAAAAAAAAAAAAAAAAAAGCAAAGGCCTAGAAGCATAATGTACAAAATTTGCATTGACAAAGTATTCAATCACTTTAGAACTAGCACTGCCATGGGAGTAAATTTTTATTAGAAACAACTTCCTTGGTAAAGATAAAAGGCAATTCAGTAATATCGAATAAAAAGCAGCTAGAACTAGTCAGTAGAATCAAGACATATTCTTYGACAGAAGAAGGGAGTATTTGTATCCACCCAACTTCAGGCATGCAAACCAAAGAAATTCAAGTAGCTTCACGGTGAACTTGAGAGGAACTGACCTGGATAAAACCCTCCAGGTAAATGTACCTATTTTTCTTTTGCCTAAGATAATACAGCTATGGGTAAGGTACATGATTTTTTATGAAAGCAATGMTGCTGAAAATCTATTCATCCAATTAAGCCAGTAATTAGAAGTTCAGGAATTGTTATATGGAGAATGTAGGTAGGGAAAAGATGCTGTAAAGATGATTCAGAGCAACTTTGCTAGGCTACAGTTTTAAGTCATGGTTTGGAGGGATAGTTTTCTAATGAGTGTGTAGTTTATGGATGCTTGGCTCCTTGTGTAAACTTGTACACTGACCTTAAAAAAYGTAAACATCTCAAAAAACCTTTTTCATCTGTCTGGTTTTCCAGATTCTCTTTATACTCATTGAAGAAAAAGGGTCATTTGGAGGGAATTATTTAAATCTTCAGGACACTATATAAAATTGATCAGATGAACTGACTTCAGAGTAATTACTTATTTCTTGAGTAGAATGGGAATTTGTACATCTAGTTTTGGACATCTAGTTCTAGATATTTATTTTACAGGCAAAGAAAAAATTTACAGTCAAGTGGTATGAGCAGTCCCCAGAAGTTAATTCTCATTTATACYTCMGTCATGGGACACTMCAAAAATCATGAAGAAATTACWGTATAATGAATRTAAATRCAATTTACCTGTARTTTACATGTATTTTATGCTGCCACMGCATTTGATWATAGCTACCTAYAAATGCAAATTACATGTAGAAGCTCATATAATAAAAAAATCCAAAAGGTACATGCAAGCAATGTACACAGCTAGTAAAGAACATGTTTCTTTAAATGTAATTGAAGAAGGAATGACAGATAAAATTTTGGTTTAAAGTATAAAATTGTAATGACAAATTTGCCTTCAAGAGCAATTGTGCATATTTTATTGCCCACACACTAAGGTCTGTTTTCTGTAACAGGAAAATAGAAGTATGATGAATTGAGCATCGGGAGTAAATTAGTCAAATAGGCAAAATAAATTTAAAATTATTCATATTAAAATACTTRCTGCTATTTTAACATGATGTCTACAACTTACTGAAAGGAAATTAAATACCTTTTTAGTTGCTTCGAGTTCTGATACATAATGTTGAAGAATAGAACCAATTGTACGGACTGTTTCTTCTTGAAGGCATGGCATATTAAGACTTTGAAACCTGTATTAAAAATTAGTACCCAAAATGACATTTCTAAAATAATATTTTTTTTATTTATTTTGGGGTATATGACCATTATATAACGTGAAATAAGCAAAAATCTTTTGAATCTGGAAATTGAGGAAGTTGAGGAAGTTTTGAAGAAGTTTAAGCAAGTTGAAAATTTCTGCCCTGTTATTTTGCTTGTTGTTGCTTAGTATTTTATTAGGCTTTTACTTTAATATCCTCTTGTATATAAAAATAATCTAATGAAACTAAGAAACAGAATGTATTGATTCGCATAAGAAAACTAAAATATATATTTTATTACGTGATTCAGAATATCATTAATGAAAAATTTTCAATTAAGCCCTTTGTTCTAAAGTTCACTGAGTTGTTTAGATAGTGCTAATACGTAATTTCAGGTTACTTTAAAATATTTTAARACACAGTTGTCAATACCTTTGAAGTAATTGAAGTGATTTCTGTGCAGACAAAATTTTCCGGAAACAGTTACGCATAAAAGTCTGTAGCTGTGCCTAAAGAATACAAAACTCAGTACTTTTTTCTGGTCAGAGAATAGTATTTTGATGATGTTTTCTTAATATAGTAGCATTTGAAATTGTTRCTACTTAAAGCACAAAATAGCAGCCTTATAATTCTATTCTAAATATAATTAATAAATAGCTAGTTTCAGTCAAATAATCTCTAAAATGTCATACAAGGTCTATGAAAGAAACAAATTAGTTGCAAATTTGTTCTGCCCAAAGTCTAATCACATTTCTCCAGGCTAATAAATGACTTCCACACAGATCATTCTCTCAGGTCTCTTAATTTTTGTCATTTTGGTTGCAGAGTGACAAACATCTATGAGGACTGTTTGATATATTTTACACCTTCTTTTAAAAGAAGGAGAAAGAATGGAAAGAGTCTCCCTCCAGACAAACATCTCCAAGCTCATAAGAAGAAAAATGTAGCCTATTCACAATCCAGTCTCACTAATATTCAGTTCAATAAATTCTTCCCCAAATAAGTTATAAGAAGTTATAATATTACTTACCTCTAAACGTTCAACTTCTGTCATGAATTTCACAAAATCYGTATCAAATTCTGTTACATGCGGATCAAGGGCATCATAAGGTTTCTTTTGAAAAATGTGGTAGATATTTTTGAATTTTACTGCCAAGAGATCTACTCCTTCAATTGCACACATAGTCAGTGCATTAAAATTCTGTTCTACAGCTATCATCTCCATTATCTGAAATAAAGATGTTATATTCATGCTCAAAATGAATTATTTGTTATTTCCTCTATAAACTAAAACCCGAGTAAAATAAAATAAACAACAGCCATTCRTCTAGCTACTGAATTCACAAATGTCTTCTTTCTGAGTCAAGTATTGTCACTAAAACGTGTTTAATTCAGTTTTCAACATCAGTTCTCACCACAACCCAAACAAAGTAAAATAATCCTTGTTTCTCTTAATGATAAAGAAGGATTTTTAWTATTTTACTGTTAGATCCAATAGGATGACATGGCATGTACATATTGATGACAAATAAGAAATACATCATGGACTCACAGAATTCCTACCTTGTGATGTTTATCATCTTATCCCTTATTTGMCCTTGTTCTGCACCTATTTGACCTTATTCTGCACCAAGAAGAACCTATTATCTTTTCCACACAAATCCTATSTATGTCAGTTTAAAATCACTTCACTGCATTACCAAGCTAAATGTCAAGACCACACCTAGCAGCAGAATCATCTGAAAAATTGTGTTTGGCAGTAAACAGGAGTTTTTAATGTAATTGAAAAAAAAAAAAAGCAAAAGTGCATTATTTTTCACATAATTTTAAACCTCCTAAAGTAATGATCTATGTCTAGACCAATCAGGTTATTTCTTTCCACTCTAAAAGAGATAAATTGTCAAGTTGAGAAGGGAATTTTGAAGTAATTGSATAATGCATTGGGATGACTTACTCTGGGGAAATGCCTAATTTCCCTCAGCAGAGAGTTGAGGGAATAGACAAATTCCTTTACAGGATGATTAAGAGCATGTATGTTGACAAGCATCCACTTTGTCCAACTRTTTTTTTGAGAGAYGCTTCTTTTTTTACCAATAATAACAGCACACAGTATACTCACTTTTTCTAACCTCCTACAAAAAGCTTCAGATTTTCCAAAAATGTACATTTCTGATACTTCAATTGGCTTTTCTCCTTCACTTTCTGAAACTTCATGAAAGCATTTCTGATATTCTTTCAACAGACATATRCATTCCTAAAAAGTGAAGGAATAAATACCATGCTCATTATGCCATGCTTATGCATGACGGACTAGAGAACTCACATGGACTGACATTCCAAAGTTGTTAGTTATCACTTCATGTAGTTTCAGTCAACAGGCAACAACAACTTAAAGGCAGTGGTTTACTTTTAGTATCAATAGAAAATATTTGCAACATATGAACATACAACAGYACAGTACAATGAACTGAAGAGTGGTGGTGAATGGTGCTAGTGGTRTCTACCACTGGACACTAATGGACACTAGTGGTGTCCCCCAGGGATCTGTGTTGGGCTCAGTCCTGTTTAATATATGTACTGATGATCTGGATGAGAGGATTGAGTCCACCATCAGCCACTTTGCAGATTTGGGTGCCTATGTGGATCTGCAGGAGGGTAGGAGGGCTTGCAGAGGGACCTGGTCAGGCTGGATCAAYGGGCTGAATCCAACAATTGGCTGTTTGATAAGACCAAGTGCCTTGTCTRCCTGGACTTTGGTCACAACAACCCCCTGCAGYGCTAAGGCTGGGGGCAGAGTGGCTGGACAGCAGCCAGGCAGAAAGGGACCTGGGGGTACTGACTGATGGCAGACTGAACATGAACCAGTGGCATCCTGGTCTGTATCAGCAATAATGTGGCCAGCAGGATTAGGGAAGTGATTCTTCTCTGCATTCTATGCCTTTTTTTTTTGGAAAGATAGGAACTCCGTAATGGAAGTCTGGAAAAGGAGAGGGTGGAAATGAAGTTAGCATTGGCAGCCATAATCCCAGATGCACATATTTTGCCAACACATATTGCATACTCTTAATTTGTCCTTGATAGGTCACCATCAGATGAAGAAGAGGAARAGTACCTTAGCACTGAACTTTCATGATACGCCAAAGAAATCTTGTATTGGAAGGAACTACTGTAACATAGTCAGGGTCTATTCAAATATCAGATTCCCCATGGCAGAGGAAGATGGTACCATAYCAGAGGTATTTCCCCTTCCATATCTACTCTTCCTCAAGATGGAAAAATGTGGAATATCAATTCCTTGGGTGCACATATGGCAGAGATACCAACTCCAAGGTCAGTGACTGACCAAACTGATCAAGATGAGGCCATTCTAATTTCAGCAATGCCTGTGAGCTAAGAATCRGGAAAACTTTCAAAGCATCATGAAATAAAAGGACACAAGAGGTGTGAAGTGCTTGATACATATTGATATGGACTTCCTTATGACATCAACAGGTAATCAATAGGCTCCACACATAAATAATAAAAATTAATAAAATATCAAAATACAAACCTTAATTTTTCCAATGACTATTGATGTCTCCTGCTCCCAGACTCCATTCAAGCCAGCATCTGTAATATATGCTTTACATGTTGTGACCATTTGATTTGTAACCTAGGACAGACAAATGAAAAAAATGTAAGTCTCAAGCTTCACAGGAAATGTGCCTGTTTCACAAAATCTAACAAAATTCTCATGTGCATGTAATAATATTATTAGATTTGGAATAAATTTCACCTGTGAGAAAAATAGTGGCTAAATAATATATGCAATATACACAGCAAACACCCTATTAAAACCCTGAGAACACTCCCAGAAGTATATTCAAGTTCCAGGACATATTTTAAATCCCCTAAGTTTAGCAATACATATACATAAACACAAAATGTCATCAATCAAAAATCCGAATGTGTTAATGACTTAAAGAGAGAGAGGTGTATGTGCAGATGAAGAGGACATATCAAAGAGAACAGCTACAAGTAGATAATATTTTCCATCTATGAAATAATTGAACAATTAATAAATGAACAATTCAAAACAGTTCTCCTGACACAAAAGTACTGCAAAGCAGGTTTTAAGTATCCCTAACTGAAAAAAGACTGAAAACTGCCATACCAAAGGCAGCYTCAAACTTAAGGAAAATGACTGAAGTTGGAGACAGGACCTCCAGTGTCACCTCTGATGATCATTAAGTGGAAACAAACAATAAATGGGGACCTTAAACCACCGGATTAAAATGCACATTTTTCCTTTCTATTTCTTGGCTTTGTTTCATATAACCAGTTTATGACCTGAAATTCAATTAACTTTTCTAGTATGACTTGCTTTGGAAAACAGGAACCTTTTGTCTTTCACACTTTGGAGAAYAGCTTAGTCAGACTGATGGCCATATGCCATAAGGTCTTCAAGGCAGAGAATAAAACAACCTTTGTGGATTATGTGATTTAGGAAACTACTGATCAGATTCATTCAGATCACAAGATTAATCAGGAATATAAAAAAAAATCACAATGATGAACTAAAAACAAAGTTTCTTTCAGAAGAGAAGTCTAATCCAAGTTTAATCCTCTTGTGATCAACAAAGTTCTCTTCCTTTCCCATGTAGAACCCCACTATTTAGTATCATTTTTAAACAAATGTTCTACTGAAAAATCACGCAATTTTTATAATTATTATATTGCTTAACATGCTTACCTTTATAAGCAAAGATGTAATTCTCTCAGAAGTGTTGTAATATTTTGAAACACGGTAAATCATTTGTACAGCCTTTATCAAGTGTGGTATTCCTTGTGTCATTAATACCTCAAAGGAGAGTTTCAAGAAAAAAATTACTCAATATTCTTAGCAACTATATTTCTATTCTATTGACAACTTTTAAAACACATCTGTCCCATGAATCAATCATTTAAATGTCACATGAATCAATCTTTAAAATGCCATAGCATCTTATCAAAAGTTTTCTTATAAAAAAGACTAACCATACTCAATAATGTTTCAAACCTCAGCTAACAAGAACAATAAAAACATTCAATCATTTGCTAAGATATCAGACTAAAGATGTAATAAGATAAGAATAATTGCAATATACTATTTTGAGGAGCAAAATTTAATACTGATTCAAGATGTAGAGATTGCWTTTTTTGGCACATAGAAAGTATTTTTCTGACAGCAATTGTCTATATTGAATGATTTTGTTTTCCTTCCAGTGAGGCTGCTAAATGTACTTTCATTGTGATAACAATCCTTACATAAAATGTTTCATTCAGACATTTCACAAAGCTCATGAAATAATTGTCACAATGTTCGTTTCATTAACAAATGCGTAATTCACTCAAACAACATATGAAACATCTAACTCTTTCACATATTTGGTGAAACCAGTCTTCATGTTGTTAAAATCATACTGTGGCAGTACTTAGTAGCTCAAACACTATTTTGGTGGGTGGAAAAAAAAAGGTAAAACATTCATTAACATTATCAGGGATTTGTCAAAGTTGCAATTCAGAAATCAAGGAAGTAATTTTGGCTGTCMTCCCTCAATGAAAAAGCCAAGCTCCTGCAATTAACTTTGAGTTGCAAACTCAAATTCATATTCTAAATAGACATAGCTSGCATTTGCATTTAGCAAGAGTGTAAAATAAATGCTATATGGTATAAAAACAAACATCTGTGTCCATGTTGTTCATCATCACCACCACTATCCCTGAAATGGAATCAGGAGACCCTGAGTCTATAGGTTTTCTTCTTCAGTCCTTGACAAAAAAAAAAAAAAATCCTGAATACTGAACTGTGCAGAAATTTCTCTGATTCAAAACCTCAAGTTAAATGTTCAGTCTGAATTTTCATATACTAGCCTATTTCAGCTACAAATTTCACTGTGTGATACTGCATACACTAAATGCCATATTTCATACACACACTAAATATCATCATAAATGCACATGTACTCCCTTCCTTATTCACAAATATATAAAGCACTTTTCCATACMAGATACTAAATTCACCTCTACACAGGATAAAGGTCTGTTTAAAACAGGAAATATTTAGCTTGGAAGTCATTGTTTTTAAGCTAAATATCATAGAAAATCCTACCTAAACGACCTTGATCTCTGGAACATGATTAGACAGAAAKTCAGATGTATCCAAATTGCTCCAGAATAAACAAAGAACTCTAATTAATGATCCTATGTATTGGTTAAATTACGAACTCTTCAATGGATTTCCACAGATTATTGTCTCTCTTYGTTTATGATGTCAGGAATTTTATCTTCATAACACCTATGAAGTAGCTCATCATTATGGCCTGGTACCTGGCACCCTCTAGTGACACCTTCAAGAGCTGAAGATAAGCAGCTTACTAACGCTGCTTATCATGCTTGTCTCATACTACTCTGTGCAATAGGACCTCTGTGTCATACATTATCAGAGTCCTTTTGCTTCCTCTCATTTAAAACTTTGTCACAGGATCCTAAACTGCCAGAGATTTAAAAAAAAAGAAAAATGTAACACTTCCTGACAGGGCAGGAGGCATTAGGACCAAAACAGGAAGGACTCGAAACCAAAGGTGAATAAGCACTATTTTTCTAGGGTAGTTACTCCTTTCATCCTATTCTGCAATAATCATTAGGAAAATGCACCTTAATAATAATTTGTAGCGATTATAACAAATAACTAATATCTTGAACTAGAATAGTGTACAAGGACAACCAATTATTTAAATTCTGACTAGCTGGTACTTCAAATAGAATCAGATAACACTGTATTCTATATTAAAACATTATTTTACCCATTTAGGACCTCATTAGGTTTCATCGTTCTCTATATAAGTGAAATTTTGGTACTTTGGTTATAGTTATRTGATCATTGACACATATGACATTTTCAGGGGAAGACATATTTGGAGATTTTTGTATTATAAAATGTGTACCTGGTTGAATTGCTTTTAAAAACAATACTGGCAGCAGGTCTGATTTATGAGGCAATCATATGTGTTTATGCTTGTTTATTAAATGCATATTTCAAAATACTATCTTTTATGAAATACATAATAAATTAATGCCTCAGCATTTAGCTTGAAAAGCTTTTAGAAAAAAAATCATAAATGTCAGAAATGCAAATTAGAAAATAATACTTTAAAGTAAATGTAAGGAAGGGAAGATTTATTTTGCTCTGAGATTTCTATGTAGATACCTAAACTAGGTAGAGAGGCATAAAGAATGGTGAAAAGCACACTTACAACATCTGTAGTATAAAGTGGCTGACAAACTTTTTCAAGTTTGTTTAGGTATTTCACRTTATCCTTCGATTCATTTGCTGCATCTGTGATTCTGCCATCTAATTCTTGCCATGTCTAGCAGGAAAAGAGTATTGTCAAAAACTTGATACATAGTCAACTATTTCTTTAGCTTGCACTCATTTGCCAAAAGTAAACATTGATAAATGAATTTTTAAGAGGCAGTAGAAAGCAGGAAATAAATGTTAATTTATTGTATTTATTATACATATCATATRTTTTATGTTCATTTTTAATTGTATCCCTGAAATGTCTTCTTCTTTGCCTGAATATATTCAGCACATCAGAACCGTATCTAATTTTTCCCCTTATAAGTCTCCTCAGCAAAAGTCTCTTAGATGAAATTTAAAAAAACCCCAAATCATAAGCTTTGCCTACTATAGTAAAAAACACCATAAAAAAAAAAAAAGAAAAAATTATTACTTTTAGTATTTTAGAGTGTGCAACTTTCAGAACACTAATAACAGCTTTACAGTTTGGTCCTTTGATCTGTTCGATAATAAAGTTCAATTTAGCAGATGTATATTTCCAGTTCTCCAGTTCATTCAGTGGACCTGAATCCTTAGGTTCTCTCTTTAGCTGCTTGCTCTCAATCAGAACCTGCAACCCATTTGAAAAAAAGAAAAATAAATCAAATGTCTACTACAGCAAATAGACAAGTCATCATAGAGAATAAACACTCTTGAGGATACTCACTCGAAAAGGAACATGCTTGCAGTTACTGACCCATGAAAATGGTTCCCATTTGGAAAAGCATTCTAAGTCTGAATCGCACTTAATCACATTCTTAAACTGAAATTAAGGCAATTAATACATATTTTCAACGGCTGTCGTGGTTTGAACTTGACTGAAAGCCAAAACACCCACAACGTTCCCCCCCCCTGCCCCACCCGAGAGGCAGAAGGAAGAGCAAAAGTCCAACTAACACTAAAATTTATGGCTTTTAGATAAGATAACATAATTGAAAGAAAGATAGGTATATGCTCCAGAAAATGGTCATACAGGCTGAATAAGTTGCAAAATTGATTTATTACTAAAAAACTACTAAAAATACTACTGCACCGGGGAGGGGAAGAGAGATAGGGAAAAATTTACAAGGAAAAGAAATAAAACCAGACATTTTTAAGACACCTGTTATTCTTTCTGGGAGTCTCTCCCAGGTCACCCCTTCCCACCCCTCAATGCCTTCCTGGGCACAAAGCGGGGCAGGCAATGAAAGTTTTAACATAGATCAAACTACTCATAACGGTTATCGTCCAGCATCATAGGAGAAGAATCCTTACAGCTCCAAGCTGTGGAAGTTCTTTTCTCAAGAAACAGCCAGTGTATAACTGCTGATGGCATGGGATTATTTTTCTTTACCTTGTGAGAAAAAAGGAAAACAGTCCTCCAAGGCCGACTGCATTATTTCGGCAGCATAAGGCCAATATTACAATCTCCTGGCAGAACACAGTTTCTTCTAAGCATCAACTCGTTTCAGATGTGAGGGGGGTCAAGCCTCTTCCCCCTTTTTTTGCTTATGATCAGTCCAGTCCTCCAAGGCCAGGTTTTTTCTCAGAGCAAGGTCGCTCTCTTTTCTATAGAGGTCTCCCATTGAAGAACTAGTCCTTTCGAGAACAGCTTATTTTCTTCATGACAAGCACCACAGCAAAAAAAAAGCAACAGTACCTGTCTTCTTCTTACGGTGATCTTGGGTCTCCATCTTTTTTTCCTTACATCTCTTCACCCTCCTCCTCTGTCCTCCCCTGGTGCATGATACCAACGACCTAAAAACTTGTTGTGGGCTAAGGTTTCTCCTTTTGTTTCCTTTCTTGGGGAATTTTCCTTTCCCATTTTGTTGCTGGGATACACTGATTGCCAGATCATCCTTTTGATGGCTGGGCGATTAGTAAAGACAATAAGATCCACCCCCCACCCAAACAATCTTGCTAAGCACTCCTGCTGCCTGGCAGGCTTTGGTTGGTTTGGGTTTTTTTCCCTCTCTTTGGAGAGGGGGAAGTTCTCACAGGAGTTTTGGGCTCAGGAAGGGGGTGGGTGTGTGTGGGGCAGGGGGTAACTTCTCTTCCTGCCCTGCTTGGCTCAGAGGAGAAAGGTCAGCCTGCTACCAGCAAGGGGAGAGCTCGACTGCTCTTTTCTGCAGAGCCCAGCATCTCCGCTCATTGGTTCCTGTTTGCTGCACTGTGATCTTCTGCCCCTGTGCCTTGAGATTTGTGCTGCGGTGGTTGAGTTCTGCTGCATCCCATCTCGTAGCTGCGGGATTCTGCTCCTCTTTTTGCCCATCTGGCCCTTCTGAGGTTTCTTGCTGTCCAGAGGAGCACCAAGATCGGCGTTTCCGCTGTGAGTTTGCAGAGGAACCTTTTCTCCATCCATCTCTGCCGTTCTGTGTCCGCCATTGGCCACGCGGGAGATCTGAACCAGCCGGGACCCGCGGCACAGCGCCCCCTGCAGCCGCCGGGGAATCATCGTACCCGCCCTGCCCGGCCGGGAGCCAACAGCGCCCCTGCCGGCTGGGACTGTAACTGCACCAAAGGGGAGGGTGTGTCTCTGTAAGGCTGTCAGTGGGTTTATGGCTGCTATCGTTGTTGTTACTTGTTTCACCTTGTTATACATATTAGTAAAAACTGTTATTCCTTTTACCATATTCTTGCCTGAAAGCCCGTGATTTTCAAAGTTATAATAATTCGGAGGGAAAGGGGGTCATATCCACCACTCCAAGGGGGTCCCTGCCTTCATTGGCAAACACCTGTCTTTCAAACCAAGACAAAACTAAATAGTGGCCACAATCTTGTTTTGAATTCTTCTTAAGTACAAGACCCTACGTCATCGCAGAGGTGTAACTAGCATGTGCAATTGGCCCAGGCCTGACCAGCAGCCTGTCCATCAACCTCAAAGTCATAATGGATTGGTTCTGAAACACAGGGGGTAGGGCACATTTTTCTGGAGAAGAAGGACAAAGCTTCTTGAACTTTGTCACAGAAGCCTTTTTTGTGATTTCTTGGTCCCATCCCCCCACCACCAAAAAAAAACGGACCAAGTAAAACCAGGACACACAGATGTGTCTTTATTTAATCAGAATCTATAGATTGAAATGCACCAAATGTAACTTCATTTGTCCAGAACTTCAAGAACTAGTTTAATAAAAATTTTATACATCAGTCAGAAATGTATCTGTTTTCATGTTGATAAATGTGTCGTCAGCTTTTTACATGTCTTTTACATTTTTACTCTTGTGAGCAAAACACACTAAATATAGTATGCTTTGTAAGTAGAGTGTCTCCCTGCCTACACCGCTTCTGTATTTTGACAAAGGATTCTCTCTTTTTCATGGAAGTGTCAGACAATAATTTCTTGAATAAGAAAATCCCATGCAAGACTTACACGGGATAAAAAATGCCCTGCTGGGCCTGATCAAAGATCTTTCTAAGAGCAGTGCTTCCCACCATGAGCAGCAGCGGAAACTTAATAAGCAATGTACAGTTAGGTATGCTCTATACATATATGTGGTCCTCACCAGTGTCATTAATCTTGCAACCCTCTGTTCTCGTCTTACTGTTTGTGTATTAAGTCTTCAGAAGCTCAAATTCTTGCTAGACTGTAGGTTCATAGGGGTAAGGACTCTCTACTTAACCTCATTTGTGCATAGAAGCAAAACACTTGCCTTAACTTGGATGAAGATGCAGCTGGAGCCCTCAGAAATGTCTCACATATCATTTATAAATACCTGTATTTTCATGCTGAATCGATGCATTAAAACAACTTACGTGTTCAATTTGTCTATACCATGTCATGAGTACTTCCTCTAGCTGGTGAACCATGTCATAATTGTCAGCAGCTGCAGTTATTTTATCAAAGGTCTGGAGTTCAGAAAAATTAATGTAATCTACTTTTTCCAACTCAACCGTTCCTTCAATACTTGCTGCAGCACCTGAGAAAAGGGTAATTACAATGTAGAACCAATTGAGACTTTAAAATAAATTTCTACCTGTCAAAGCAATTTAAATTTGAAAATATACATCTGCAGTCAGTTTATTTCAATATAATAGCACTTAATTGCACTCACATAAAGCAGAAAATTCTGATTTTAAATGCAGTGATCCTCCTTAAAAACAACGCATCACTATTTTCTCAAGAAAATAATCTAACCATGCATATATTATGCACCTAATTGATAATTTTATTTTTCCTTGCAGAATGTGAGAAGTTCCTTATCCATGCACTACTGCCTTTAAATGGAAATCCTTAACTAGAATTCTTCTAGTTTGTGTCCTAAATGCCACGCTTACCTCCTAAAAATGAAACGTATTTGTTAATTGTTTCCACAAAATTCTGTTTTTCTTTTGTATCCTCTTTGCTCTCACCCAAAGAACCCCAATTACTTGTTGCGAGGATAGCAGGAATGTAAACCCTTTCTATTAAATTCTTAACACCAGGTAGGAGTCCATTAGAGGCATCCAAAGCACCAAAGAAAATTTCCTGTAATGTGAGAAAATGATTGTTATTGAAGCAGTAACTTATACTAGAAGCAGTACTATAAGTTCAATGTATTTTTATAAAAGCACTCCAATATGGCAAACAAAACTTTCAGGAGAGAAAATCATTATAAAAGAAATTTACATTTCTTACAACATGCCCCTAAGATAGTACTTTCAATATAAAAGGGAACTCTATAATTATTTAGTACAGTTTTTAAAAGCTGTCAGGCTGTGCTTGTGTTACTTCAGTTATTTCCCTATCACACAGAGTTTGGAAATTTTTAAATAGTAGAAACACATCCTGAGCCACAATTAAGTACTAATTCATGGAACACAAGTAGCAAAAAAATTCTCTGAATGTCCATATCTAAAATTATATTAGAAGCAATTATTTGACTGAGCATATATTACTTTGAATCAGGTTAAATTTTTTCATACTCTGCAAAACAAAACTTTACAAGGTCTATTTCTAATATTTCAGTATTTTAAATATCTTTCAAATAAGCAAGTATTAACACACATCTGATAGCAAACTTCCTAGAACATCTATGTTCTTTCCCAAACCCTTCAGCATTTTGAATTAATTTTGAAGGAATCTGATGCAAAAGTAAAGTTTATGACCAATATTAAGGCTCTTGATACAGACAGGCCTTGTATCTCACTTCTAAAAGATTTTTTTTGCTTTTATTTTCTTTTACTAGCTCTCAAAAGGAATGGAGTATTTTAATATTAAATACAAAGCACGTAAACTAATAATAGATTTGCTGTCTGAAGAATTTGAAGTAATACTAATCACAAGACACTTGTGTAATACTATTTGTTATCAATTTACAGTCCCTTAAGCACTGCCCAAGCATTAAGATGTGTAGCCATGAACAGTAATGAAGCCCACACTTAGATAAGAATTTGTCTTGTAAAGCAGAAAAGTTCATGCCACATAATTTATATAGGATAAATAAGTATTTCATGTTTTATTTGTCAAAGACATGTAAACCAGAAAGGTACAGGTAAACTTTTTGACTCCCAGTATTTGTGATGAAGTCTTCTCAGTGTGTCCTTGTAGTTTAGGGATTTTGATCACAGCTAAAACATACTTAGCAGCTTGAACCTCTTCAAAAACATCAGGGAAATGAGAAATTAATCTAAATGCTTATTCATTTAACAATAATCCTGTAATAAGTATTTGCTGAAGCAAAACAGATATTCATTGTTTATCCAAAATAGAGAGCAACACAGTTACCAGTAACTTCAGTTATATGACAACTGGAAAAAAAAAAGAATTAAAAAGAGCGGCTTTTAAAGCTTTTAGTTTTTAAAATATATAAGAGAGTACCTCATGTATAGTTTTGTCATTTATAAAGGTGTCATTCTTAAAGCGAACAAAAAATAAGCATAGTCCTATGACTTTGTCTGGTGTCTTCTCCACGTAAAATTGCATCATTTGACTTCCTTTTTCAACACTTGGAATTATCCGACCACACTCTGAAAAGGAATTTCATAGGTATGGCTTTGTAAGTGAGGGTGTTATAAAGTGCTTAAAATTAATATAAGGATATAAAATTAAACATACAAATAATTTGTTTTCTTCTTTTGTAAGAGAACAAAAACCAGCATAATTTGTAACTGTACTAAATCACACTTTTAGAAATCTACACCAGACTTACAGTGTGTATCCTACAAACCTGTTTTGGCACTGAAAAGGGAATTTGCTCAGGGCCATCATTCTGGAAGAATTTGCTGATGACTAAGGTACYTCATTTATTTTCATTTATCCTACCAAAAAAGATGCCAGGTCTAAGTGAGAAAACACGGACAACAAGATACCTTTGGGTCCTTTGTGGATATATTCNCTTTTTCTGGAGAAGAAGGAGAAAGCTTCTTGAACTTTGTCACAGGAGCCATCTTTGTGATTTCTTGGTCCCATCCCCCCACCACCAAAAAAAAATGGACCAAGTAAAACCAGGACACACAGATGTGTCTTTATTTAATCAGAATCTATAGAYTGAAATGCACCAAATGTAACTTCATTTGTCCAGAACTTCAAGAACTAGTTTAATAAAAATTTTATACATCAGTCAGAAATGTATCTGTTTTCATGTTGATAAATGTGTCGTCAGCTTTTTACATGTCTTTTACATTTTTACTCTTGTGAGCTAAACACACTAAATATAGTATGCTTTATAAGTAGAGTATCTCCCTGCCTACACAGCTTCTGTATTTTGACAAAGGATTCTCTCTTTTTCATGGAAGTGTCAGACAATAATTTCTTGAATAAGAAAATCCCATGCAAGACTTACACGGGATAAAAAATGCCCTGCTGGGCCTGATCAAAGATCTTTCTAAGAGCAGTGCTTCCCACCATGAGCAGCAGCGGAAACTTAATAAGCAATGTACAGTTAGGTATGCTCTATACATATATGTGGTCCTCACCAGTGTYATTAATCTTGCAACCCTCTGTTCTCGTCTTACTGTTTGTGTATTAAGTCTTCAGAAGCTCAAATTCTTGCTAGACTGTAGGTTCATAGGGGTAAGGACTCTCTACTTAACCTCATTTGTGCATAGAAGCAAAACACTTGCCTTAACTTGGATGAAGATGCAGCTGGAGCCCTCAGAAATGTCTCACATATCATTTATAAATACCTGTATTTTCATGCTGAATCGATGCATTAAAACAACTTACGTGTTCAATTTGTCTATACCATGTCATGAGTACTTCCTCTAGCTGGTGAACCATGTCATAATTGTCAGCAGCTGCAGTTATTTTATCAAAGGTCTGGAGTTCAGAAAAATTAATGTAATCTACTTTTTCCAACTCAACCGTTCCTTCAATACTTGCTGCAGCACCTGAGAAAAGGGTAATTACAATGTAGAACCAATTGAGACTTTAAAATAAATTTCTACCTGTCAAAGCAATTTAAATTTGAAAATATACATCTGCAGTCAGTTTATTTCAATATAATAGCACTTAATTGCACTCACATAAAGCAGAAAATTCTGATTTTAAATGCAGTGATCCTCCTTAAAAACAACGCATCACTATTTTCTCAAGAAAATAATCTAACCATGCATATATTATGCACCTAATTGATAATTTTATTTTTCCTTGCAGAATGTGAGAAGTTCCTTATCCATGCACTACTGCCTTTAAATGGAAATCCTTAACTAGAATTCTTCTAGTTTGTGTCCTAAATGCCACGCTTACCTCCTAAAAATGAAACGTATTTGTTAATTGTTTCCACAAAATTCTGTTTTTCTTTTGTATCCTCTTTGCTCTCACCCAAAGAACCCCAATTACTTGTTGCGAGGATAGCAGGAATGTAAACCCTTTCTATTAAATTCTTAACACCAGGTAGGAGTCCATTAGAGGCATCCAAAGCACCAAAGAAAATTTCCTGTAATGTGAGAAAATGATTGTTATTGAAGCAGTAACTTATACTAGAAGCAGTACTATAAGTTCAATGTATTTTTATAAAAGCACTCCAATATGGCAAACAAAACTTTCAGGAGAGAAAATCATTATAAAAGAAATTTACATTTCTTACAACATGCCCCTAAGATAGTACTTTCAATATAAAAGGGAACTCTATAATTATTTAGTACAGTTTTTAAAAGCTGTCAGGCTGTGCTTGTGTTACTTCAGTTATTTCCCTATCACACAGAGTTTGGAAATTTTTAAATAGTAGAAACACATCCTGAGCCACAATTAAGTACTAATTCATGGAACACAAGTAGCAAAAAAATTCTCTGAATGTCCATATCTAAAATTATATTAGAAGCAATTATTTGACTGAGCATATATTACTTTGAATCAGGTTAAATTTTTTCATACTCTGCAAAACAAAACTTTACAAGGTCTATTTCTAATATTTCAGTATTTTAAATATCTTTCAAATAAGCAAGTATTAACACACATCTGATAGCAAACTTCCTAGAACATCTATGTTCTTTCCCAAACCCTTCAGCATTTTGAATTAATTTTGAAGGAATCTGATGCAAAAGTAAAGTTTATGACCAATATTAAGGCTCTTGATACAGACAGGCCTTGTATCTCACTTCTAAAAGATTTTTTTTGCTTTTATTTTCTTTTACTAGCTCTCAAAAGGAATGGAGTATTTTAATATTAAATACAAAGCACGTAAACTAATAATAGATTTGCTGTCTGAAGAATTTGAAGTAATACTAATCACAAGACACTTGTGTAATACTATTTGTTATCAATTTACAGTCCCTTAAGCACTGCCCAAGCATTAAGATGTGTAGCCATGAACAGTAATGAAGCCCACACTTAGATAAGAATTTGTCTTGTAAAGCAGAAAAGTTCATGCCACATAATTTATATAGGATAAATAAGTATTTCATGTTTTATTTGTCAAAGACATGTAAACCAGAAAGGTACAGGTAAACTTTTTGACTCCCAGTATTTGTGATGAAGTCTTCTCAGTGTGTCCTTGTAGTTTAGGGATTTTGATCACAGCTAAAACATACTTAGCAGCTTGAACCTCTTCAAAAACATCAGGGAAATGAGAAATTAATCTAAATGCTTATTCATTTAACAATAATCCTGTAATAAGTATTTGCTGAAGCAAAACAGCTATTCATTGTTTATCCAAAATAGAGAGCAACACAGTTAACAGTAACTTCAGTTATATGACAACTGGAAAAAAAAAAGAATTAAAAAGAGCGGCTTTTAAAGCTTTTAGTTTTTAAAATATATAAGAGAGTACCTCATGTATAGTTTTGTCATTTATGAAGGTGTCATTCTTAAAGCGAACAAAAAATAAGCATAGTCCTATGACTTTGTCTGGTGTCTTCTCCACGTAAAATTGCATCATTTGACTTCCTTTTTCAACACTTGGAATTATCCGACCACACTCTGAAAAGGAATTTCATAGGTATGGCTTTGTAAGTGAGGGTGTTACAAAGTGCTTAAAATTAATATAAGGATATAAAATTAAACATACAAATAATTTGTTTTCTTCTTTTGTAAGAGAACAAAAACCAGCATAATTTGTAACTGTACTAAATCACACTTTTAGAAATCTACACCAGACTTACARTGTGTATCCTACAAACCTGTTTTGGCACTGAAAAGGGAATTTGCTCAGGGCCATCATTCTGGAAGAATTTGCTGATGACTAAGGTACCTCATTTATTTTCATTTATCCTACCAAAAAAGATGCCAGGTCTAAGTGAGAAAACACRGACAACAAGATACCTTTGGGTCCTCTGTGKATATATTCCTATGCAATTTGATAGTTCAATATAAATAGGTAAGGGAACAGTGTGTGCAGTGATTAGAGAATCATTAGAGATTTCAGACATTAAATGCTAATGCTGTACCAAGCATGTGAAAACTGAGAAATTTCACATATTTCCAATAAATGCAAATTCAGAGTCAGGTTTTATGAAAGTCTTTSTAATGGACTGGGGGCAAAATTCATGTATAAAAAAGGCAACACCCAATTCAGTATTTCAGGAGAACTTCTTATAGCCTTTCTTCCAGGAGTGGCTAAAATTGAKGGATTTTCCCTAAACAATTTGACTTGAAGCAAGCATTTAAAATATGAATTTTCAGGCTTCAGAGCAAAAGGTTGCRAAACTCTGAACAAAGAAACACAGATTTTGTTCTGAAAAACCTTAAACAAAATGAACGATAAAATGCACTATAACATCTACCCGCATTAATATTGTTAAACACTTACCTACTCCTCGTGCCTCTCCTTCTTGATAGAAAATTTTCAATGACTTTTTTCCTCCCTTGGCAAAAAATGAATCAAAAGCATCCAACTGTTCAATTAAAGAGTGAATACTTATTACTCAAAATGTTTTTATAGGCCTTTAAGACATACAMAACTAATTTGACTATGCTACTTTTTAAAGTTTTGTTGGCATGCAATGTTTATCCTCAAATGTTGTGAAAAGATAAAAAACAACATAATAGATATTTCGGATACTGCCTTAAGTACTGAGACTGCACACACAAGTGGCCCAGCYCCTGAAAATTGTGCATTAAACATTTATGAGTCTTGTCCAGTAACACAGAGATGTCAGAGGATATTCAGTCACACACAGATATCTTCAAGTATCAACTTGGAGTGACTGGTTGTGAGAGACCTAGAAAAATACACAGCACTTTTGTATGACTTGACATACCCCACTATTGCCACTGTACTTGTWAATGTAAAATATTAATTCATATAAGAAGAATAACATGACATGGACATTTTCTTCTCAAGACATGAATGGGCCACATTGGCTCCAAAATTTTTCATGAWGGCAAAGGTTTTGCTGACCTCTGGAAGGACAATGAGATCACATCTGAGGGAGACCAAGCTGCTCCATAATTAGTGGGCTGTACCTGTCAATAAAATGACCTCCCTAAACCACTACAGGTCTGTAGACATCCATTTTGATTTTGTGTTGTGATACAAGGTGCTTTGGATAGTAAGAATACAAAGCTTTGAAACAAATACAGCTTGTGTATGGATTGTAATTCTGAAGAACTTAACTGAAATTACAGCTAGGGTTTCCAAAGTCTGAATTTTCAAACTCTCCTAGAAAATTAGTGTGTCCTGGTAAAAAYAAGTTGTTTGATTTAACAGGAGGGGAACAAAGCTCTGAAAAGCACTGAAAAAAGATCAGAAGATACTGAATGTTTAAAATCCAGCATATTTCACAGTCTCTGTAGTTACTGCAAGGATGCCTAACTCCACAAGATGTGACTGGGCATTCAGAGTGTCCAACTGAAGGGCTCAGCTGTGGTAGTGAGACCCCCTCTTTCCTTCCCATCAAAAAAAGGTCAGRTTTTTAGCAAGCATGTCTGGAGATCAATCACCTGTCAGGGACAGAGGATACACTTCTAGATGTGGTRTATTTCTTATGAACATGGTTTTTCCCCCCGGTAAACAAATATTAAAGGTGAATCACAGCAGTGATARGAAAACGAGTGACATCCAGGTGGACAGAATTTAAACCCATGCTTGTGAGAAGACAATATTATATGAAAATAAAAGAAGTAAAAGCCAGTCAGCTCYAGAAGTGCAATTCATTTTGGTTAACAGGCACTACTGAATGGCAAGGTTAAAACAGAGCAAAATACATTAAACCACCCCAAACTAGTGAAAGAAAAAGAACATTGGTAAAGCGCTGAAAGTGCAGTGACAAAAACCAGGAAAAAATTCATTACTACAAAAAGCACTCCTGATTGTGAGGAAGAGGAGGACAAACAGTAACTTTAGAGCTTGCATGTCCACATAGTTACTGCAAAGAGCTTCTGGTTCAAGTCTGTGTGGTGCTCACACATCCACTGTGTGAGTACATATGCGGGCTAACGCTTCCAAGGGCAAAACCTAACTCGTGGATGTCAAAGACATATGGATATTGGAATTTATTAAATGACAATTTGTTGAGGAACAATGTTGACACAGCCCTAACAGCCTGAACTATTTATAAACAAACTAAAACTGGGAGCAGGAAAAGGTCCAACCACAAAAACTTTTCAGATAGTACTGCTGACAGCCAATAAAAACCCCAACCCAACCAGAAAACCACAAACAAACAAAAAACCACAAACCAAAAACCAAATACAAAAAAACCCTCAAGAACCCAAAATTCCTCAATTTCYCAAGTGTTAAACTTGGTGTAGAACATCAGTTTCACATTAAATCAGAATGATTTAAAACGATATATTATTTAGCAAATGAAAAAAAGGACAATACTTAGCACACCTCTATATTGTGTAAGCAGAAAAAAACCAAAATGAAGCTAAGTACATTTTATGATATAAAAATATCAATAAATAAAACCCAAACAAATTTGGATTAACACTAAATTTGGCTTGTAACTGTACAACTGAAGTTCTAAGAATTTATTTTTTGATCAAAGGAGATACTATCTAGCTGAGTTTTAAATTTTAAGTCAAATCTCTCTAACAGATAATAATAACATCAACCAGATGCAACAGTCAAATAACAACAATGCAATCAGAGAAGTTAGCTTAATGAGACTCTTAAATTAATATACCTGGAATTCACAACAGCCAYACTGAGTTTTAATAATCTGCTAAAAGTACAGGTTAACTGTTTGCTCCTGTTTGTTTAAAGACTTTGAAACATTGTGGGAGACAACACTTAAGACGCAAAAATAATGAAAGCTTTCAGAAGTTCCACAGGTTTTGGATCTACACACTCTACAAACCCACTTAACCCAATCTTTTAAGCAAACAAACATAAAGCACTCAAAACTGAAATGGTTTAGTGTGTCTTTCAAATGTAATTGTAGTATTTAAATGGTGTAGGATTCATCTTCTTTCTTATTACTAACAACACTTAATTTTCAAAATGTTCACATGAAGTTACACATTTTTGCAGAATCTTTGGAATTTCACTGAGAACTTGCTTAAGAAACAAAAATGATCATAATTAGAAGATAATAACATCAGTCTGAGATGAAACTTGTTGGAACTGGTAGATGTGACAAGAAACCTTTGGTCAAAATAACAGCAGTATTTATATTTTCTGTGAGGTGAGAAAGACATAAAAGCCACAATGAAAAACCTTGAGGATATTTCCAAATCTGCCAGGACACTTAGCTGAAAGATTTAGACAGGTGCCCTTTTATATGAGTTGTGTGCCTTAGTAATCACATTTTCTGGCAGAAACAATCAAAATGATGGATAACACTTCATACCAAAGGCATAATCTGCAACATATTTTAACTAATGWGTTAAATCAACAAGCATACAAAGCAGACTCACCGAAGGGACATCCAATATCAGTTCTTCCACAGCTGATACGTCTAACCCTACCATGGCACCGAGAGCTTCAAAWATGTATCTATATAAAGCATTAATTTTTGCTCTTCGACCTTCTCTTGATCTTTCATATTGAGCCTAAAACATTAAGCAAGTCTTTCAAGCTAAAAATGTACAAAGCCTTCACAACAATGACCTGCTACTTAATTTGCAACTAATGCTAAATTCTACTGTCTTGTATTTACAATTTCATAAACACCCTATTCTTTAAAAATACCTAACTTTCCAGAAGCTAACAGAATTACAAATTATTATTGTTATAAGATGTGAAATCAAATCTGAGGATATGCCAAGGAAAAACAAACATTAGGAATACTACAGCTGTATTTTAAGATTTTTATGTCACATTAACTGGTTTCATTGCTCACAAACAAAATTTAAATTTATTAAATTACTACAGAAAGGTTAAAATATCCRTTTAAAATTAAGTATCTAGGGTGGGTAAATATTTGCAGGAACTATATAGCTATATAGCACTATATAGCAAGCTGAGAACATATTTGCTTCAATGTAAATTATTCAGTTAATATCTCCTGCTTCCTATCTTGATTGCTTTAAAATTTTAAAATATTACAAACTTGGAAAAAAAAGCTCACTTTCTGCCAGAAATAATTTAGTAAAAGAATTGAGTCTAAACAAAAATAGAATCAATAAATTAAAAATTTAAACTAACGATTAATATAAACTGAATTTAATWATCTAAGGAAAGGACTAGAAACTTATAACCTTTCTTCCTTTGAAACTCTGCACACTTGGAACTCCACTAGGGCGGTAAATCTTAGAGAAACTTTGACTTCCCAAAGAATGAGTCTCTTGAGAAGAGGAAAGGCTTCCTGATCGTTGACCAGTGTGAGAAGATCTGACAGTACTTTCTCCAGCGATTGAACCTTTTCTAGTATTTTTTGGTAACCCCGCCATTCTGAAAGCTGAAATTTCAAAAAAAAAAAAAAAAAAAAAAAGATTATGTTTATAACAATTCAAACATTTCAAGATTTCAAGTCTACCTTTTCAAGAAGACAGGAGCATCTCAAGACTGACTTTTCAGGTATATAAATTTAATGGTCTCAAGTCCTCTTCGAGTTCTTAAAATGCCAGACATTTATATATATTTTTATGATAGATTTCAAATGACAATATGAAGATTGACATATTTTTTAAAACCAATTTTTCATATATGTGTGTTTTGTGGAGTGAACACCACACTATATAGCAAATACATTTTAAAATAGAAATAATTTCAGTTTACTGAAATTACTGAAATTACTCTCTGATTACTGAGAACTAGAAATGGTTTTGAATACAAATGGCTTCTTTAAATTTTAGTTTTTAAAATAGAYATATAAATTTAGCAACTGAATTTACAAAAAGACTTGCATACACAGAAATTGCTACTTCTACTCAGTGTACTATTACAATAAGGATCAAGAAAACTATTAAGAATTCCTTAGTCGTTCATATGAGACCTAAAGGCAGCCAACCACTGCTGTAACAGTGTTACGTACTCTCTTAGACACTATTACATGATTCAGGAAATAAAAAATCGAAGGTGAGGCCAACATGAAAAGCAACACCTAAAAAGTAACACAAGGTAGTACGTTACTAGCTCCTTATTTTTGCCCATGTTAATAAGTTACAAATTGGCTGCTCTTCTATGGTCTTAGGCATACAATCATCTGCAGCAGAAAGTGTTCACCTCTTTGTTGAAGTAAAAATACCACAAAAAAACAAAAAAAAAAAAAAAAAAAACCACAAAAAAAAAAAAAAAAAAAGAAGAAGAAAAAAAAAAAAGGAAAAAAAAGTGAAATCTAAATTACTTATATTTCTTTTTCTTCATGTTTCTATGACTGGCCTGGTTAGGTTATCTACAAGGTTAGCAGTGGTACTTTCCTCCTTGATTTTTCCACTCAGGCTGAATAGGCTGGATGTTAATTTCCTTGCCTTTCAACTGGTTCGCTTTTAGCTGATACTTGCCCCTAAAGGACAAGATGAGAGAGGTGGGGTTCTCGCAGCTTTCTTTAAAAAACCCGCAAAGACTACAGTTGCATCCTGGCATCCTCCCTGGCTCTTCAAAACCTGTACTCAAGATACCTGGTGGCTCAGGTGAGATTCTCACACTTTACAAAAACCTTTGTSAACTCCATCTGCCCACCTCTCCCGACTCAGTGGAACAACGTCCGTGCTTTTACGCTAACAACTCATTTCCTTCCTCCAGGATGCCAAAAACCTGCTCTACAGGACCTGCTCATTCAAGGAAAATAGATCTGGTTTGAGCATGCATCATTTTAGGACGATTGCAGGAGGATGAGGTGCGGGAGGGAGGAGAAGTGGAGGATTCCCAAGCTCAGAGCATTGATAATACAGACTTGAGACTTCCTTCTGAAAAGCTGAGGTGCCTCAGTTTTGGCAGAGAGACGCAGGCGAGAAGCCTCACCGACCTGGCCGAAGCGGTGCCTCCTCACAGGGCGGGGAGCGGGGCGCGATCTCCCCGCAGCGGGCGGAGCGGGCGGTCCAGCGGCCGCCGCGGGGCGGCTCCTCCCGGTGCGGCGGAGGGGTCGGGGCAGGGGCCGGTACCGGGAGCCGGTAACCGCTGCGGGGCGGCTCCTCCCGGTGCGGCGGAGGGCCCGGGGCAGGGGCCGGTACCGGGAGCCGGTAACCGCTGCGGGGCGGCGGCTSCAACGCCCGGCCGGGAGCCGTGGGCGCTGTGCCCGCGTGTCCGACAGCCCATCGCGCGGGCGGCCTAAATTCCACCCTGAGGAGCCGAGCCGCCGTTCTCCTGCAGAGATCTCGCGTATTTGGACACCGCTTGCCCGGGCGGTTGGTGCCGTTAAAGGTCCTTATGGAAGTTACTGGAGTAACGCAGATTGAACGCTGTGCTGCTCTTTCCTCTCGATTATAAAATGTGTGGAGTTTTTTATTCTTTTTTCCCCACAGAGTATTCAATCGTTGTTTCTATTATGTGTTTTTGAGACAAATGTTATCCTTCCCTCTTAGGCCTGAAATRAWGTTTTTACACTAMAGGACAGYRCGTWACTCTGAAGGRTGAAGAGATGACTGARAGGGGGCCTCATCAATGTGTATAAATGTCTAAAGGGTGCCCAGAGGATGGAGCCAGGCTCTTTGTGGTGCCAAGCAATAGGGCAAGAGATAAAAGTCAGAAACTGATGCACAGGAAGTTCCACCTGAATATAAGGAAGTTCTTATTATGAATATGAGGAAGTGTGAGGGTGACCAAGCCCAGGAACATTGCCCAGAGAGGTTGTGGAGTGTCCCTCACTGGAGATATTAAAAAACCCGCAATCTGGACACAATCCATGTGCTTGAGAAGTAGATTGGAACAGGTCCACTCTGGTCCCTTCCAATCTGCCTGGTTCTGTGATTCTGTGACAAATGCCCCTTGAAATCTTTCCCCAGTGCCTGAAGGCTAAACCAGAAATCAGCCTTTGTCAATACTAAAGTGAGGCTGCCATGTGTATGGTGGTAACAAGGCAAGGCAGGATTCCCAAACAGCCTGATACTGCCAGGACTTACAAAAGCAGCACCATTCCAGTGGAGCTGAGTTATCAGCTGTGTCTGCTCTGGCACTGGTGGTGTACCCTTGGCCTGCCAGTGSCAACTGAAGGGATGCATTGCCAGGTGAGTGCAGAGGATTCTCATTTTCATGCCATGCTTCAGCCACAGTCAGGAAGGCTCCTTCCCTTTGGTCCTTATGTTGTCCTGARCATGGGCTCGTTACCTGAGCAGCATCAATTCACACACTGAGGCAAGGTATTCCCATTTTTTATTCTAGTTTGCTCAAAGTAGGGAGTTGGGTGGTAATGCACAAAATGCTGGCTCCCCAATCACCAAAACATTACAGTATTTATACATTTCAACAAACAAGGGCATCAGCATTCGTTGGCATACCCTTGATATTAATTATTATTCAAAACTGTATTTGTTAGTTATATCTCTCACTTCTAAAGCTAATTAGTCCACAGGCACAGTTCTTCCTTCTATTTGARTCTGGGGTCCGTTTTGAGTAGGTRGTCAATGAGTCAGTGGTYGTGACTGCCCATTGCMGGAATCACCTCTYTCCCAGTTACTGCTCAGTTTTGCTGATTTCGCTCCTGGTGGTTCGCGTCCAGACAGCCCATGCATTTTGGGATTGTTTTCTCTTTTCCTTAAAACAGAGTATCGATTATACGACGTTCGCAATGCAGGTGCGCAACCACAACTGTCCAGATATAGCTACTGACTAACATCAAAACAAAAACTTAAAAGTTTGATTCAGATCTTGAGGGACTCGCTATGACTTACGGGACGAACCGGCAGACTTCGGTCGCACCTACGTGCTCCCAACGCCCCGAGGACAGCGGGGCGGGGCAGAGCGCAGCACCGCCTTCCCACCTCCTCTTCCTCCCCTTCCTCCTCCTCCTTTCCGTCCTCTCTCCCGACATGGCGGCCCCCGCGGAGCCCAGCGGGCTCACGGATGAGGCAGCCTACAGCGCCTGCTCGGAGCCGGATGCCAGCACGAAGGTGGGTGGATGGGAGTGACGGGCTCGCCCCGGGCTGTGGCTGCTGCTCCGCGGCAGCGCCGGTGCCCGCCCCTCCCCGCTCCCCGAACGCTCCTCTGCGGGYGGACGTGCGGTGCATGGGGGCCGGCATGGGGCCGCGCCGGCTACCGGCGGGACAGCGAAAGGTGGCCGGGCACGGAGCTGCCCTGACGGCCCGTTTGTCGGGTAGCCCAGCGGGTTTCGTTTCGGGTCGTGCCGAGGGGCGGACGGGCCGGGTTGGTCCCTGGRGGCCCCTGGACACTCCGTGGCGCGGTCGGCCGCGCCTGTCCTGGCTCTGAGCGAGCGCTCCGGGCAAGTCCCTGGCAGGGTGTCCCAAAAWATACCCCAAAATACCCCAAGCGTTTTTACTTTTTATTAGGAGAGTCTTGTAATTGCATTTTTTCTGGTTTTTTGCCCCTTACCTCTACCGACTATCCTACCACTAACCTTTTATCCACTTAGTCGTTCCCAAGCCTCTGGTATGTAATTGCTCTGTGGCTTCAAGAAAATATCCTTACAGAATTGTAGGCTGGTTTTGCTGCCAAGATACAATAGAGCTTGACAGAAGTTCAATAGCAGTGCCATAAAATAATAAAAATAATGAGCTCAGAAGTCTAGGAGGCTCAGTACTGAATATATACTTGTCTGTTGCGCTTGTGTGTGAAGTTGTTCATGTATGCTACAGCCCCATAAAAGAAAAACATAAGGATACCTTTTTGTAATGCATCGGATAATACATATTGAGCGATACCACTAATGGGGTTGTCTTAAACATTGTAATTTATTKATTTACTTATTTAACACAAACCTGAATGTGTAGAATCAGAACAAAAGGTTTTATTTACACTTAATGTASTTCTCTGTAATTTCTGAACCTGCTGGTTTTAGATGCCTTACTCAGTGRCATCTTTGTTAATACCCATAATTCAATTCTGGTTGATGTATAAAGGATAAACTTTTTCCCCACAGGATTTCATGTTTCAGCAGACAATGTTAAGAGTAAAGGATCCTAAGAAGTCACTGGACTTTTATACAAGAGTACTTGGAATGACGTGAGTAGAATTTGTATGCCACAATACGTGTGGGTTTTTTTYCTGTTCTTCTGAAAAGAATTATTTTTTTGGATGTAATTGTACTAATTGGTCTAACTACGTAAACAATGCTAGCCCATCAGCTGATGCTCATTTGGATAGTCTGGCAATAATGACTAAACTGCAAATGAACTAATATTGGCCTTGACTAGAAATATCTTTTTTTCTTAAATAGGTCATTAATTATCAGTGTACAGCTTGCTTACTTCCTCTTCACTGAGCCTGCAGCTAACTGGTAACTTTTTTGACTGTGCTTATAATAAGGAGTCATTGTTAAAAATCTTGAAATTAAGTTTGTTTTCTAGTTCTCAGAGATGGCTTACGATTACCTCCAGTCATATGAGAACAAGGCAATACAGGGTGAAGAGAAGGTCCAAGCTCAGTCTTTTGGAGAAGTTTTTTGGGAGGCAGATGCCCTGCAGTAGCTTAACACRTTTATGCTGAGGCTTTTTGTGCATTCTTGGCATTTCAAAGCCAAAGTTACTTGAAAACAAAATACAATGTTTTTAAACATCTTGAAAGGAGTCCAGACTAAAGTAAAATAAATTACTTCCACGATAATGTGTGAAAATAGAATTTAAATACCTTGTAACAAAGAAATTAGATTAATTTTGCATGCCTGCTTGTTCCAGTTAAATGTCCTGCATAAAAATGTATGCCTCATGTTTTTAATTGATTAAATTGTTGCATCTGAAAGGGATTTTATCATTATAGCTAGCTATTGAAACTGTAAATGTATTTAATCTAAAGGTTTGTTTGCTGTGTTCTTAAACTTTGGTGCCAGTGAGCTCTCCAGAATGAGTAAGATTGAAAGTAGATCTTTYTATTCCTTGGTGAAATTTTAAAATKATTMAAGTTTTTCCTGTGAAARTACAGTAAAGTAACAGAGTGACAACCTCAATATGTAACCCTTTGTACTGACTTGTCAGTTGCTGGTAGTTTATTATTTAAACMTCTGATTCTTTTAAATTTTGAAGATTTTTAGTATGTTCTGGAGTGTTTTTATTTGATAGTTTATAATGTAGCTATTTTAAGGTGTGGATTACTGAAAAACATAAATTCATGGAAATAATTCTTCCTTGGGGAAGCAATCTTGGTTTATTTGCAACCTACCTGACTACCCTTTAAGTTACTATTTCAAAATAATTGTTGCCATTTAGACTGCTTCAAAAATTTGACTTTCCTACTATGAAGTTCTCACTCTATTTCCTGGGGTATGAAGATAAAAAKGATATCCCGAAAGATAAAGCTGAGAGAACACCTTGGACCTTCTCTAGAAAAGCTACACTCGAACTGACACAGTAAGTAGTTATATAATGAGAGWTGATATTTAGCTAACAGTGATTAAACAGTATTGGATAAGTGTAAATCCCATTAGATTGAATAAAAATTTAATCAATACTGTGGATACATCTTCCCTGTCATATAGCCTTAAAACATGTTTGAGATTGGATACTTTGAAAGCTTAATCTTCCTCTTCAGAGCTTTTGAACTGCTAGGTGAACATAAATATGAAATAATACTTAATTAATTTTGTATGCATGCCATCTGGGTAAGTAATTTTGGGAAACCCAGTGTGGTTAGACCTTTCTTTGAATCCAGAAAGCATCCCAATAATGGATAACAATTGCTTTTGGRATCTAATCTAGAGGGGTATTAAGTCAAAACATATGCTTTCTGTAAACAGGATAATTTGGTTAATGTTGCTAATCATTGTAATTGTGCAGAAAGAATCTCCCCAATGCTGCCCTACTGAACTGCAGGACCTGCTACCCTCACTTGTTCCCCAGTGACAGGCAGATGAACTGATTTGTACAGCACAACCTTCTCCCATCTCAACGAGACAGGAGTATTTGTGACTCATTCAAATGTAGACCCTAAATACTAGTGAAGAAATGTGAACATGACTGGATTAGCCCCAAGGCTATGTGTCCCTAGACCCTGTGACTGGGGAAGGTCTTTGTGATTTAATGAATGAAGCCAACACATGAAATTCTCTGATTTCTTAAGAGAAACATCTTACCTTGCCAAGGAGACTGAACATTTAGGATTTGTTAATTTTGATGCTTTTCTTCAATATGTAATAATTACTTTTTACAGCAACTGGGGCACTGAAAATGATGACAGTCAGTCTTATCACAATGGCAATTCAGATCCCCGAGGATTTGGTATGTCTTTAGTCTTGTATTTATAGTTTTTAAGCTTTGAAATAAAATTCASTAGCTCCTGTAAAGAAGGGAACTTGCCTCTCATCCTTTATCTCTCTTCTTTGAATATGTATACTGTCAAACATGATGAAAATAAATGAACCAATRTGTTTCAGAGTAATGACCCAAGTTACACTCTTTATCATGAATCTAATCCTTTGGCAAGTAAACGTATGCTAATGGTAATTACTGAATTAATAACACCAGTTGTGCTTGTATAYTAGGTTATCATGGTGTTTAAACTGATTTCCACTTGGATTTCCACTGTATGATCCACTAGTTACCCATTTTAAACTAGAAGGACAATTTCATTTGTCTGTAGCACTGAGGATATAATTTGTGTGACTTGATCTGATACTCTGAGCSCTTGAAAGGTCACTGCTTGGAAAAGAAGTTTTACACTCAGTCCAGCCACTTGAATTTAAAGCTTCTGAATTGATTTGTAAGCTCAGGCTTTGCATAGCACTAGTGTCAGTCTCTGCAAATACAGCATTAATAAACTCCATGTGCTGTTAAACACAGCAAATATAACRAAATCCCATTATGGAACTGTGCTTCAATGAAGAAAATACAGATAAAACAGATAGAAAATCTTTTTTCCTACTCTAAATAAAGTTCTTGTCTAAACAAAATAAGRTACTTCAACTATAAAATTCTTATTTAAAAGGCATTATGAAAAGACAACTCTTTGAAGGRTATTAATGTTAGTATCCAAAATGCTCTTCTTTCTGGAAGTTTTTCTTAAATACAGTCGTATCTTATGTGAAYAACAGCTTGAAATACTGAGCAAACTTTTTTCCCAAACACCCAGCAATACTTATAATGTACTTCACTCTTTTTACCTTCTTGCACAGGACACATTGGAATTGCCGTTCCTGATGTCTATAAAGCTTGTAAGAGGTTTGAAGACCTAGGAGTGAAATTTGTGAAGAAACCAGATGATGGTAAGTCTTGATCAGAAATGCAAGTAATTTTTTTTACTTGGTTTTAAAATACTCTGTCTAGTAGGTCTTCCTGGAATGCTAGGTAATGTGTTTCTAGTAGTTGCCACTGCTTAGAGCTATTTAGATCCAGTTACTCCTGCACCCCCTTATAGAGTGGGCGAAACTGGCAATAAATCCATCCCAGTCACAATAATACATCAGTCTGCTACATGCCTTCTGTATGCAGCTTGCCCTTCAGTAAAATTGACCTGCTCTGTTGATGTTATAATTTACATGTCATGTATACTGCTGCCTAGAGTTGTTGCAGAATGTACTGTAATACGGATCAAATTCACACGGCACATCTGCTTGGTTCTTGTCATTTGAAAATGAGTCAGACAACGTACTTGCTCCCACCCATTAAAACTGAGTARTTCTTGACTTTTCTGGCTATTTTGATGTAAATTCATCTAACACCTACTATACAACCTACTAGTTATTATATTTTTAACTGTTCTGTCAGCTTTGGTAGGAATAACTTCATTAGTCTGTATCATAATTAACTGGCATAACTTTTACCAGAAAATGTATAATGTATAGCACAAATGTTTAGAGTACATAACCAAAGAATGTCTATGTCCAAATATCCCAAAATGATGCAGGAGTGGTGAAAAGTCTTGCATTTTTCAACTGGATTCTCTTTCATAAAAAGACCTCATAAGATTACTAGGACTGATGCATTTGAAAACAGACATGCAATACTACTAATGGAAAAGAGATTTAAATTATTTTCATCTTGTTGTGTTCTCAGCTGAAGCAAAATAAGAAATATAGCTGAAAGCTTAACTTGAACACAGGTTTCARAATAGGTATTTCTAGCATTTGAGAGTTTATGAGCCTTTTTAAAATTTGTTCTTTTGTTAAACCCTGAGAGGCTTGAGAGTTGCTGACTTAGAGCTGGGCAGTGATAGGAATGAAGTACAGAGAAGCTCAAGCTTAGACTGTAAATGGAGGGAATCACAGGAAAGACTCCTGAAGCAGACAAGGGGTTGGAAGAGAGCGAAAGCTCTTCTTTAAAATTTAGAAACAAAATTCATACAGCAATGCTAAGGAAGAGGAGAGAGTTTTGGACTTCATATTGTTTGCGRAGCAGGCTGGGAGATCCAGTGTGGGGTCTGTTTTCCAACCTTAGTGATCAAACATCTATTCTCTCAGTTGTKGTAACTGGAAATACATTAAGAGCTAGGCTGGTTCTGTTACAGTAAATAGTTTAACAGAGCAAGTGTAACTACAAGCATTGGTTAACATGTTTAAGAAAACATTTTAAGCTGCGCTATCCTGATTTATTGTTGAAAAAACTTATGGGGATCCTGTTTTAATGAGTATTTTCTTCAACAGTAAAATTTAAAACAATCCCATCCTGCATTTCTTTGCTTTATGAAGCGATGCAAAAATGTACTGTAAACCACATCAGGAGCTGAAATGTTATCGTACAATTTCAGTGTGGAGTCGGGAATGATGGGAGATGAACAGAGCAGAGGAATGCAGGGTTTTATACCAGCAAAGCCTGCTCAAGAAARTATGTCAAAATATCCCTGGAGCACAAAAATATTTCTCTGAGTTTTGAGGAAGAACACTTAGAGGGGCATATGAAAAAGACTTCACTCAACAGTAGATGGAATTCCAAAGTGTCTTTTAACTACAGCTTTGTTGAGAGTAGGATTGAGAGTTTTGCATACAAAGACCTAATGCTGATTAGAAACTAATCTGGATGTTTTTAGAATTATCTGTCTAAATTTGAACAGATTTTTTGTACAAAAGGAAGAAAGGAAAATTAACTTTCAAAGTAGTCATATTTGATGTTAAGAACCAGTCATGTAGTCTTAACTTCACCTTTTTTTTTTTTTTTTTTTTTTTTTTTTTTTTTTTTTTAATAGGTAAAATGAAAGGACTTGCATTTGTTCAGGATCCTGATGGCTACTGGATTGAAATTTTGAATCCTAACCATATGGTGACTCTCACTTAGTTCTAGTGAAGTGTATTCTGTAAGAGATGCCCACTTTCACTCTCCTGGAGAAAATCTGTGTTTGTGAAATTCTTGCTTAGTAGAGAGGAATCAGTCATGYTCAGAGTCTCCTCCAAAACTATCCCCTGGGACCTCACTTGGATTCTTTTTTTCTTGTCCTGTGATGCTCCTGCAATGTGTTTCCAGTTAGGAATACTCAATAATTTTCTGGAAAAGCACTTAACACAGATTCTCCTCTTGAACATTCATTATGATAATATTTCAATAAATATTGTCAAAAGATAYGTGGCCAGAAATTCACTGCATTTCACACTGATGAACAGCAAATCCTGTATTACTACTGATAAGCATCAACAAGGAGGAAAAAAGAAACTTCAGAATATTTTTTTATGAAGTCAAAAGATCCTGAAGCCTTCATGCCCTATCTTGTATACTAGAAAATAAAATGCCACACTAACTTTGACTGAAGGAGTAATAGCGCGCTTATAAAAGTCATTATCTTACTTATAATATTGCAGGCAAAACTCTTTTTAAAGAGCAGCCTTTAACAGTCTTGCAACAAGAAATTTTGTWGAGGCAATAAATCTGTACAGCAGAAAGAATTCAGTCTTTCAGCTCAGCTCCTGGCTGCTGATTGACAGTCAAGAGAAAAGGTCTCACAGATGCTAACTCACAGTGACCCTTTTTGTCTCTTTCAATAGTAGGAAGAACTTAAAATTTTTGTTTCAATAGAAGCCAGAGGTTTAAGTGCTCTGCCTATTCTGCCTTAGGAAATAAATGATTTGATTTAAGTGCTCTGCCTATTCTGCCTTAGGAAATAAATGAAAAAGTTTCCTACCACTAGACAGTTAATCTGCCCTCCCAAACAAATATTGGTATGTACCTGCAAGCAGCAGGAAGGCAGGTACAATTTACATGTGCTACACAAATAATTTGATTCTATGCAGTTTCACATGTCATAAACAGTGTTTGAAATCCTTTTCTTGCAACAAGAAAAACCTTCTGCCTTGTCTGGCTCTGGTTTGAGTAGCACTTAACTTCCATTTCTKCAGTTACATGGCTATCAAACAATGTACAGTGGAATAAATGGCTAATGAATAGGGTAATGGCATTGCAGTCCACTTCTCAATAAAGCATTGATGAAAACTACAAAAAATTTTAAAGCGCTATGACTTGCTTCTTTGCTCATAGCTGAGTTCCAGACGACTGAAAGGCTCTTTTGCTTTGAAGATTCTTTCTTTTGAAGGAATCTGGTGCTAAAAGAACATGAATCAGGAGTTCATGTAGTGAAGATTAACTGTGGGACTTGATTAAATATTTTAGTAAAGACAATCTCAAAAGTTTTACGAGCATGTCATCGTGGTGGTTCATATTTTATCAACACAGTGTTCCATTCAGTCTTTTTTTCACTACGCTTCAAAATAYAGGTGTGACTAGAAAAGCTATTGACCCAATTGTATGGAATCCATTAATTAAAACCAGGATCGCTCGTAACTCAGATGAGTAAGTCAAAGGGTGTTGTCACATTCTGCTACGGGAAACTGCGAGGGAGTCTTTTGAATGGATATCTCTGATGAAATTAAATGCAAGCAAGGCCAATCTTTAGCTGAGAAGTTTATTGGTAAGAGACACTGCATGTCCCCACCTGAGGAAGACAGAAAAGGCAGGAGCAAAGGAAAAAACAAGGAATGCAGTGRAATRAAAAGACAGGAAAGGAAATATGAAAAAAAGGAAAATTCTGAAATGAGGTAAAATGGAATGAGATGAAGTGCAGTGACATGAATGAAACGTAATAAAATTATAATAGTGAAAAACATGAAATGTTGAGGTTTTCCCTATTACCATTTCATTGTTTCAGTTCATGCCACTGAACTACATMATTCCATTTAATTATTCTCAATTAGTTTCAGAATTTTWTTTTCAATTTCATTTAATTTCATTMTATTTCCTTTCCTGTCTTATCATTTCACTTAATTCCTTGACTTCTCATTTAATTTTGTGAAAATTCTTCATTTCATGAAATGAAATTTAATCTCGAAATTGCAGTGAATAGAATTTCATTAAGTTTTGGTTTGTGTCACTGCACTTCATTTCAATCCATTCCATTTAATTGTTTTCACTATGTTTCAGAATTTTTTWWAAAATTTAATTTCATTTWATTTCCTTTCATTTAACTTWGTTCCTTAATTCRTCTTTTCATTTCCTTTCCTGAAATGAAAGTTCTTCAGTCCAGGAAAAGAAATCTCGAGATTTCAATTAATATCATTACATTGGTTTATATCACTGAATTTCATTCTATTCAATTTAGTTCTTTTAACTTCATTTCAGAACTTTTTTTTTTTTTTCACACTAACAATTAAACATGCTTGGGGTTGTGGCTGAGGTGCCCATTCCCCTGCATGTTCCCAATCTGAAAGTTGTGGAGGCAGCGAGGATTCTTTTGAATGGGTATCTCAGATAAAAAAGTGCAAAGGCTGCCAATGTTGTATCTGAGAACTGTTTGTTCATGAAAGAAACTGCATGTCCCTACCAGACKAGCATAGTGTCTGGAAAATGACGCTATGTAAAGCCAGTGTCCATAAAGGAGACAGAGAAGTCCTACAACTTTATTCCAATAAAGGGAGAGTCCACTGGGGCATAGGCCCGCGGGATTTTCTCTCTCGGTTTCGCAGGGTGTAGCCTCCTTTTATCCTAAACATCCGGCCGCATTTTSCCTTCTTCCTTTCCCCAYTGGCTGAGGGTACTAGGAAGTAAGGTGTTACAGCCTTCCCGAACCGTGTATCACATATTTGCCCCTTAACCCTTAAACGTCRTTTTCCCCCAAGTTCAGAAACTCAGGCTTGTGCGGACCCTATTTGTCTATTTCRGGAAATAGGCTGGGTTCTGTAACAAACCTGCGGGGTGAAATTGTTGCAGACAATAAAAGCCTTTGAACACCCATACCCTCACCCATGGAATTGTTTGTATATACATTAGCACACTTCTTCCCTATAATGTAGTACAATGGATAACTACGGAAGTAGGAGCAGGCTATCCTAAAACTTCTCTAAGTAGTAATCAAATAAAACTTACTCTGAGTAYGTTKGCTAATCTTGGARTGATCCATGTTTTTTTACATTCTTGACAAAGTGTAGACATGATAGATTATGAGRTAATAAAGAGGAAACTTGTCAAAAAGCACTGGCATCTACAAACTAGTTACAGCAGTTATCATAAACTGCACGAGGTATGGGTTTGGGTTTTTTTGAAAAWGTTACTGCTGTTTGTCATAGTGAGAAACAATTAAAACTAGTATTCTCAGGGCTGAAATCCAAGGATAAACTAAAAACACKAAAGAAAAGCACTTAATAAATTGTCTTTTAACCTGCAACAATATTGCAGTATTTTAGACGCAGAAAAACTTTTGAAATTATTTCACGCTCTCACTGATTACCAACCACTATTTTTACTTCTTCCAAGAAAAAACTTCTGCCAAATAAAGCATGGAATTAAATAGCGTGTAGTGTTTTGCCTCTCGAAGGGCTTAAATTTAGCTTCATGCAGTCCAATAGAAGTCAATCCCACGGTTACGTAGCGACAGGCCCACATTCCCCGTTCCCGCTTGGAGAGGCTCTCCTGACGCAGGAAAGCAGGACACGCACCGAAGGGCRGGAGGTACGCACGCTGTTACCAAGGAAACAGGGATTTTGAATGTAGCCACGGAGCAGCGGACGGGGGCGGCGGGGAAGGTTAAACAGCAGTCGCCATCTCACAGCCCCTGCGGTCCGGCCCGCCGTGTCCCGGCCCCTGCGCTCCGCGGCCGGAACAGGAACCCAGGGCCGGCGGCGGCCGCAGAGCGCTCCATTCCCGCGGCGCGGCTCGCTGCGTCACACGGAGGCCGCTGCTGCCTGCTGACGTCAGCGCGCCGCCGGGTGACGTAGTGACGGCGGCGGGCGGGGGGAGGAGGCCTCGGCGGCGGCGGGGCCGGTGAGTCCGGCGGGAGGGGCGCGGGAGGGGCGGGCGCGGCCCCGAGCCTGAGCGGGGTCCCGGGGCTGCCTGGGCCGAGGTGCTGTCGGTGGCGGCACCCACCGGGCGCGGGCAGGGCGAGTCGGGCCGGGCTGCGGGAGCGCTGCCGTCCGGGGAAGGCGCTGGGCGCGTTTGGCGGTGAAGCGATTTCACCTGAAGCGGCTTTTTGTGGAGGCGAGGGAGGGGTCGGCCGAGCGGACGGGGGTCGCCTTCCCGGGCGGCCCGGGCTATCCCGGGCGCGACCTTGGGAGCATCGCCGGCTCTGGCCGCCGTCTCGGCTCCGCGCCTGTCTCACCTGCCGCCCCCTCCTCCTGCCCCCCCGGTCCCACCTCTGGCTGGCTGCTCAAGGCCCTGTTGTGSCTATCCAGCTTCAGTTTTATTTGTTAAAAATTATGAGTTCAGTATTTTGACGCTCTCTCGGTACTCAGTGTTTTCCYTGCTGCTTTGGTGTCGTAGTAGTTTAACACTCTGCAAGTTACGCACTACTGTGATTCATTGAAATTACTCTYAACTTAGAAGACATATTATCAGGCTTAATAAAACAACAAAGAAGTTGGTTTAACTCGTTAGCAATCTGCCGATGATCWCTGCCGATGTGTTTTTAAAGCGCAGCACACAGACCTTCTTAGAGCCCCGTGCTAAAACACTTAATATTTTATGTGTTTTAGGATTTAATTTGAGCCTATTTACAATGCAGGTGTATTTGATGTGGCTTCTGTTACAAATCTGTAAATCAGGTGCTTGAACTGTTCTGTTGGCATGTTAGCTCATATTTAACAAAAAAAAAAGACCCCAAGAATTTTCATAAATGGCTTTTGAATATATTTTGATAACACAGGCCAACTTGTCAACATACATTACTTATAGGGAAGATATTTGCATGCTACATTTTGTTCCTCAAAAATGAGGAGACTGTCAAATAGCTGGTTTTGATTTGCAGGATTAAGGTGTGGTTACTTCCTAGTTCATGAGACTACATAAAATTTTTTTTTACCTCCTTCTGTGATCTCTTAAACATATCCTGTAAAGAAGATTAGAGTGACTCTTATGAGTATTCATAGATCAAGATATAAATACAGTTTAWTTTTCCTCTTGGCAGGTTTGATGGGAAGGTTAACAATAATTTATACTTGCTGAGAGAGACTCATTATATTRGTTATGTGTTTAAGCAAGTAAAGCTTCTATATTTCTGTATTTGCTCACCCTACAGTTTTGTTTTGTTTTCCTGTTTATAGAAAAGGCTTGCGCAAGAGAAAGCTCTGCAGTTGCCTCAAGTTTTGTAAAAAAAAAAAACAACAAACCACCAAAACCCAAACAGAACCCCCAAAACATTTAGCTAGGCAAGAACRCTTAGAGAATTTTGGCTGTGTAGGGAATGAGCGAGAGTGATACAGTTTGCATAGAACTGGTTTAATTAGGACACCCATGTGGGAAAATGGTTTTCAGGGATGTTAATGCTGTAGCAGAAAGGAAGAMATTTTTGTGGTTTAAAATGAAAACATGAATGGAAATATATTACTGTCTTCTGTGATTGCTAAAAATATGAATGTCAAAGTTAAATTATGATTACTCAAAAAATAAATACTATTGCTGTGTTCTAATACTATTAGAAGTTTTCCTTTAAAATTGAAGGTTTTTTTAAGAATTTATTTCCACAAAAAATTGAATTCAGAAATGTTCATCTCTCTCAATTTGTCTTAAGGCTTTGTGCTCATAATTCCTGATGGTGTGTATTTCATGTGTTATTCCAGGAAATGGTACAGTTGTTGCTGTGCAGCTGGATGTTGGTGAATAACGTTTCTATGAGCTTGCTGTTCAATCTGTCTGTTGTTCAGAATGGCGAAGAACCCTAATTTCCAGGAAGCTGGGAATCTGCCTACAGGCTACGTTCACTGTAGGTCTTCAGACAGCTTCACTGGTGAGTGGACTGATGTGTTTTCTTGAKATTTTAATGGTTTAGTTGTATGGCATTTTAACCAGATTAATTTTATATATGTGTTAATAAATAATCTGCACTAAGTATATTGTTCGTTGTACTTAGCTAAACTTATTCCTGCTCTTCTGGCCCAGGAAAGCATCTGAGCAGAATGTAAAATGTTAGCACTACAGCACTTAAGTGACAGGAATGTGTTTGCAGGTGAGCAGGGCATAACTTTGCCTATGCTTGAAGTCAAAACATTTTTTGGTACTAAATTGCTGTTTAGAATGTTGTCATTGGATGGTGTGGTTAATTACCATTAATGTTACCATCTGCTTTTATTTTAATCCTTTCACAATGGAAGGATTGGAGATGAGACTTGAAAGTTCTGTAAGWTGAACTTATTTGAGCTTTCATATTCTGTGTTTATAAAGCCTCACCGGTTGTTTATGTTGTTTCCATTTTTGGATACTAAGTATCAAAACTTGGTTGGGTATTTTTTGTTATAATTTTCACTCAGTTTCAACTTTGTTTGTACAGTAGTSTTATTATTTTTGTTTGTACAATAGTGTTACTGTTACATCTCTCATGTTCTGGCAGTATGTGGTAATAGAAATTGAAATTAAAGTAATAATTTTGATGGAATTTATTTACAATATAGCAAACTATCTGTGAAGTAATGAATTACAAAAAATTCAAATACTACTCAAATGCCTTCAAATCAACTGAAAACCAGTTCCTATTTTTAGATAAAAGAGCAGTGTAAAAGAATTACATTTAAGAAAATTCTCTTTGTTTAATTCTGATAAAAATATTATCTTGCTGTGTGCAAACTAATGATGAAGGAATGAAGTGTTTCAAGGATATGCAATTGTTTGCTCACTGTTTATAATCCAGCCTTATTTAAAAAAAATTCTAAATATATTCTGTTTACTTACCTTTATTTCTAAAGTTTTGATAGAGTTATCAATTAAGTAAGCATTCTTCATTTTCATAAACTTTTTTAAAATTACTTATGATAAATTTCTCAAATTTGCTATTCTGAGCCTGGTATAAAAACAACACTGCCATGTTTCATTGAAACAGCACTGCTTTTCAGAAGATTCTTGAGTGTTAGCCTACATGAGGAAGAGTCTAAGTGCTGACCTTTCATTGCAGCTGAGAATTGTTTAGTAAGGACATAATCACTGTTTTGCTGTTGTTGCTGCATTTTCTCGATCATGTTTTTGTATACCATAACATGTTACCGATTACTTACTGAGTAGAAATGCAAGAAACTGAAAGCTTGGAGGGGTTTGTTGTTTTTCGAGGCACAATACACATTATGTAGTGTTGCATACTGCCTATGTAGTGMATACTAGGCTGCATTTTTCACGTGCTGCTGTTGAAGATGGCCACCRAATTGCGGGGCTTTCAGTGGGGCTGTTCAAGTGCTTTCTAAGCCTTAGGACTTAACAAATGCCTTTTCAGATTGTTGCAGTTCTAATGGTGCCTCAAAATCACTGAGAAGACTGTTTTGTTTTTTTATTTCTGTGTCATGACCAAAGCTGCAGCAGCTGACTCCTGAAGCGGTTAATTAGCTCTGAATACTTCCTGGAAATAGGTTATGATGCTGGCAACAGCTTGTWAATGGCATGTTCTTTGACTGCCAGGAAGAGTAAGCACCTATATTCTCTGAAAGAGTGATGTTGTTTGATGATGGAAGATGCCAGAGGGATCTTTAGGAAGGGTTTTGTCCCAGCTCTTAGCAGCATCCATCTTTTTTTTTAAATCATAAATAGTACTTTTGAATTGCATTAGAAAAAAGATGTGTTTCACTATGCAGGGAGATTGTGAGCTCGTAGCAACTTAGCACAACTAGAGGTTATTATGTCTTACTTCCTCAAACAAGAACTGTGTACATCACTTCAAGGGTTGCTTGAATTCATACCATTAATTAATTGAGCCTAGGAAGACACAGTCATGTATCATTTGGTTCTGTATTTTGAAGGCAGGACTGTCTCCCTGGTTTGCTTTATAGGAAAAATCGACAATACAGACAAAACTTGCATTGGAAATCTGTACTAGTAAACAGTAGGTGAGTTTGTTTCTTCAGTGCACTGGTGTTACCCATGCTCACAAAAGGCATGAACATGGTTTTGTAAAGGTGACAGTCCCCAGCRCTTTGAGTCACTCAAGCTTTTGAAAGGCCTCCTCAACTGGARTCTTGTRGCCATCATTTTAGTCTTGTATTTTCTGTGCTCAGCGTATTTGTGTTTGAAACAGATGGTTTRGAATAGTACATGGAACCAGCAATTCGGACAGCATTAAACATGAGAACAAATTTGCCTTGTTCCTTACACACAGGATGTACTTTCATTGCTTACTGTTGTTCAGTGTCTTGTTCATAAGGACGAGCATCCTTGTGCTTCTAGCAAGTGCTCCCACTTCTAACTTTGCCCTCTTATATACACTGATTATTGTTTAGACTGAGGTTTATGTACTCTTRAGAGGAAAGTGTGCTTTTGATTTTATTTAACCCTAAATACAAATAATTTCCCTTGAGCTTTTCATCCTCTTGGCACATGACAACATCCACAGCTACTGAAAGGAAAGTTAATGTGCAGCTGGTGACATTCCCTTGTCTTCACTACTTTTACAGTCTCTCAGTTTTATTCAGACAACACCTGTTCTTATTTTTTAGAGATAAGAGTGGATTCAGGAAACAAAGAGGTAGAATTTAGTAAAAAGTGGAATTAAAAGTAGATTTTAAAATTAAACTATGCCAATATTTGTACATGGTCATAGTATCATAAATCAGCTTCCCTATTCAATAAAAGTTTAAACTAGCAGAAGAGAGATAATGCAGAGTTCCCTGACAATGTGTAATTCATATGTAGTTGAGTTGCCTGACTATTGCAGATGAAGATCAACAATAGCAATTATGGACATGGTATGGAAGTCTTTAAGGAGTAGTGAGACCTGAGAYTGCAACTGAGTAACAAATACATMTTTTTGTTTTCTACYKTGGTGTAATAAAGTTTTCTATTTTGAGGGCATTTCAATTCTACCATTGTCTATAAACTCTTAAACAATTACATTGTGGTAAGTGGTATTGCTGGTACAAACGTAGACTGCTGGGCTGATACGAGATAATCTTGCTTGTTAGAAAGTAAATGTTACTGGAAGCACATGTAACACAAATCTAAATTCTCTTAACTAATTGTAAATTAACCAGTGTAAGTGGAAGAAATAGTCTATTATTATGAAAAGCTATGAAAATTAATTTACTTCATGTCAGGATAGAAGAATGTCTTTACAGTAATCTGTGTTCCCATGGTTAGGCTGCCTCCAGTGTCTTGGCCAGTGTTGCTGRTTCTATGCTGTACTGGCTACTCAGGCACACAACTTCTAATTCGAGTAGCAGAGACAGGCAGTGGAAGGCTGGGAGTTTGTTCCCAATTGTGGTGTATTATATTATTGATTTAGTATGCTGTACTACTGTATTAGTATTGTATTACTACTGTACTGTATTACTATTGATTTAGTAAAAYTTAAWTTTTTWAAATTTTATTTTCTATTTCTATCACTTTTTTAGTTTAATTTGGAGTTCTTTGGGACTGTGCTCCCACACTGACTTAATTTTGGGTTAAGCATTTTAATCTGTTCAAATGCAAATAATACTGAACCCCATGTGCGCATGTTTGCTTTTCTTTTTGGGGTAGAAATGACTGGAAACAGATAAGTATTTTCTCACAGTATTTCTACAGTAGAACCTAAAAGTGTATTTCTGTCATTAATATTTCACTTGAAGAATTTCTCTCTTAGCTGTGTGCAAGTTATGGCCTCATCATTTTCTTGCTTCTTGTGTGCTTCTACCTTTCTTCAGCATGGGTATCTGCCCATTTTGAAAAGTGGCTAGTAAATGAAGCATGGAAGATGTCTCTGAAAATATGGATGGTTGTATTCTGGACCAGGCAACCTCTTTTTAAAGAAAACCAAAGTATAACAATAGAAACCAATGTAWGACCTAAATTTGCTGTAGATGCTCTTGCTATTGAGACTACAGAAAAACTATTGCCAAATKAAACCAAAACCAAAAGAAAACTACAACCTGCTWTGAATKAATAAGMAACAAAGTAATTCCATATAGATTAATTATTGTCCATTAGTGGACAATGTCCTAATTTTATGACTGAGAGGTAATAGGGGATTTGTTTTCTGAAATGTATGAGGGAGCAAGAAGGTATCAAGAAAACAGTGGAAAGAGTAAGAAAATTCAGTTGTATGTTGTAGAGCTTTTCTCTCTAACAGACCTTTTCTATTACTTATCAAAAGTTATCTTGATTGTTTATGTTCTCTCAGGAAAGTTGATGAGAATTMTGCAAAAACACTGATGTTTTTRCTTGTCATTGATTCTGGCACAGACTTGAGAGTTAAGACTAAGCTTAATTGGTCATATTACTTTTTTCTTTATAATTTATATGAATTTTAATTCAGATAACTGCTTTCTAATAATAACATTCTTTAAAATAGTTTAWTTTTTAATTCCCTTTGTTGGAAACTTTTTCTTTTAAGTAAATGGGTTGACTGAACAACAAGGGGACAGAATTGTCTGAAATACTTTGTTGGCTGGAGTTGTTGGTACCAGCTGTGTTGAGTCCAGTTGAAAATGAACTTTATAGAACAACTCTTGATTTTTTTTTCTTGTAATATGTGATTGCTAAGACTAGTCACTTTTTTGTTATTGCAATTTCATGCTTGATATTTTCAATRTTTTTGCCCTCTGAAAGAGTGATTGTTTCTTTGTCTCTCAGGCTACCAGTATCACCATCCCTCCAAGATGAGTAACAGCCACCCTCTTCGTCCCTACACAGCTGTGGGGGAGATTGACCACGTTCACATMCTGTCAGAGCATATTGGTGCTCTGATGAACGGGGAAGAATATAGTGACGTTACCTTTATTGTGGAAAAGAAGCGTTTTCCTGCACACAGAGTGATTCTGGCTGCTAGGTGCCATTATTTCAGGTGAAGTAAAGGTTTTTGTCAGGCTCACAGGAAATTTTTATGCAGWTAAGATAAACATTTTTTCTCTATGAACTTTTCAGCGTGTAATCATCTGTCCATTGAGTGTGACCTTTTCTGTGTGAATGTTTCCCAGCACATCAAATTCTTGTGTTCAAATAGAGAAAGATAAATACCATGTCACAGTGTTACTCTTTTGACCTTCATTAAATTGGATTTTGAAGGTAGTTTCACACATTCAAGAGAAAGATAACTTGAAAACAAGAAAGTACTACTGCAAAATTGTTTTGATTTTTCAGAGTATAAGTAGTGTGTTTCTATGGAATATACTCAATTAGGAAGTTTCATTTTGGTGAATTGGAATTGAGAAGAGATTTGGGTGTTTTTAAACTAGGAAAAATACTAACCCAACTTTTTTTTTTTTTTTTTTTTTTAGCAGGGTATTTTTCAGTAGAAGTATATTTTATGGAACTTGCTAGTAATCTTATTTCAGTGATTTTTTTCAGAGGGATAAGATACTAACTAAACTAAACTTATCTTCCTTACAGAGCATTATTGTATGGAGGAATGAGAGAATCTCAGCCTGAAGCAGAAATTCCTCTGCAGGACACCACTGCAGAAGCATTTACCATGCTATTGAAATATATTTACACTGGTCGTGCTACATTACGAGATGAGAAAGAGGAGGTTCTTCTAGACTTCCTAAGCCTAGCACATAAATACGGATTCCCAGAACTGGAGGATTCCACATCTGAGTATCTTTGCACAATACTTAATATTCAGAATGTCTGTATGACTTTCGATGTTGCCAGTCTTTATTCTCTTTCCAAATTAACTTTTATGTGCTGTATGTTTATGGATAGAAATGCCCAGGAGGTGCTCTCCAGTGAAGGCTTCCTGTCACTTTCTAAGGTATATWTTTATTTGCACTTTTTTCTCCAGGACTGTGAATTTTAATCTGTATACAATTTTGTGATGAAGTACTAACGGGGCCACTAAATAACCTGAGATAGTTTACAGTTATCATTTTATACTATTGAAACTGTGGCGGTTGGAAATGTTCAAGGCAAGCTGAACTGAAAATTCAGGCTATCTGTTCTGAATTTTTTAGATATTGACCAATCAGTACAGCTAAATATAGTAGATCTAATGGAGTGTTCTAAGAGATTGCATCAGGCAATCTAATCTTGTTTTGTTTCATCTGTTGCTGATACAATGTGATTTGGCTTCTGAATGTTGCACAGGGAAAGTCAAGTATTGACTTGAATATGCCAGGAGATACTTTGTTCTATTAATTTCTTGATAGAAATTAATTATTGATATAAATTCTTCGGCAGTGATGGGTGATTTTCTGCTGTGTAGACAAAACCATTCTGGAGATTACTGTGATTTATGTTGCTGATTGTCATCAGGTTCTGAACTTGCACACAATATGGTGGTGGAGGGTTTGGGTTTGTTGTGTTGTCTTTTTTCTTTTTGTTAGGTGCATAAATATTTGTGGCTGATTCAGGCTGCTCTATGAAGTTGAAATTTTGCACTTATTCTGGAGGGATCTTTGAGCTSGACATTTTAGTGACAGGGTGTTTTCAAGTAGTGTTCGCATGAAGCAGCAGAGCACCTTGAATGAATAATGCGTTACTCAGGGTTTTATAAAGTGGATTTTTTAGTGGCAAAGCTGTGAAGCGTCTGTCTCTTGAATGAGTATATAACACTGCTGTAACTTACTCATTATATAGGGAAAAGGGGTTTTCTTTCTCTCTCTCCCTCTACCTTGTCAAGTGCAGTTTGTTCAGTCAGAGCTCTGAGAGCCTATTATGAATAAAGAAATGAGCAAACATCATCCAACAGGAAGTGCACACTGAGATCTTTGCCATAGCCAGTCTGGTATATATGAGAGGTTTATCCTTTTTCTAGACAAACTCATTATTCTGCTGGCTAAGTGAAAATCAAAAAGCTATTTGATTACTTTTGTTCTCATTTTGCATCAGTGGGTTTTCTACATGAGTGAGAGTTCTTGGAGTTTTTACCTGCTGATACTAAGTTGGCACCAAAAGACAGAGAAAGATTGTGCAGGGACAGAAATTCTAAGTAGTCAGAAATGGTTAAAAAAAGTGATTCAAAGCAACACTTCCTTYTCTCATCAGTGTTTGTATAGCAATCTAAGCTTAAAGGAATGTTTTGAACTATACTGCCAAATCCCCGAATCTCTTATAATATTCAGAAGTATATTTGAAACTGATATTATATTGAATAGTTCTCTATATTTCAATTCTGATATATTTCTTCTACTGGTTTTGTAATATTGCCTATTATATTGGTCATGGATTCTGTTATTCTTGCATAACCCAAATAAGCTACAATTTCAGGGAGTCACTCCTTTAGCATTATTTTTAATAGTGACCAGTTAAAATAGCCATTAATTTTTGCATTATTTGAATTACACTTGGCTAAAAACCTAAAATTTAGTTTAATTTCTGTTTATTTAGGGGGTGTATTTTTTATTCTTATTTCTGTCTTCCAGGCTGCTCTTCTAAGTATTGTACTGAGAGACTCATTTGCAGCTCCTGAAAAGGACATTTTCCAAGCTTTGATGAACTGGTGTAAGCATAACCCCAAGGAAAACCATGCTGAAATCATGCAAGCAGTTCGTTTACCACTAATGAGTCTAACAGAACTACTGAATGTTGTAAGACCTTCTGGATTGTTGTCACCTGATGCCATCCTAGATGCCATTAAGATTCGTTCTGAGAGTCGGGACATGGACCTCAACTACAGGGGCATGTTAAGTAAGCATCAGGTTTTTTTGTTTCCTTCTCATTTTGTGACTGTAGTTGTCTGGAGGTTATGGTTAAATTGTGCTTTAAGTTTTCATGTTACTGTGTGTTTTAAATGRTTTACAAAACAAAACATCTTGTTATGTAACTGTTCATGCCATTTTTGTTTCTTGATATTAGTCAATTATTTCTTGCTTTGTGTCACAGATATTCTCAAAYACAAATGTAATACCATTTTTCTAGAGGAAGTGGTAATTTAATAGAAAAAGTCTTTAAAAACCATTGAAAATAAAAGTTAATTTGCTTTGAGATATATGATATTTAAATGGTTTTATGGTGATGGTGACTTGTTTTCTGCTTTATAACTTTTTCATAATTTCTCCAGTATTTATGGCTTTCCTCTTACCCTTTACATGCTTGTCCAAAGTTTAAACAAGTCTCTGAAATTGTTTTAGTGGAAGCATAAAAAATGTAAGAATTCTTGTGTTTGACTCATTTTCTGTGCTCTCTGTTAATTCAACAAGAGTATGTAACACTCAAGTTTTAAAAACATATTGTTAGCCATCTAATGTGTGATTTACAGTGAGAATTTGGCCTACAGGAAAGAATAAAGTTAAATGTTCTTTAAGAGCCTGCACTGTATTCTCAGTCATGCATGATGAGCCCTGAAAATTGCTGCTATCTTAGAATTGCATATTCCCTTTGTTCTCCCTTAGAAGTTACAGTTATTAATATTTAAACATATGAGTTGAATTTAGGATATTGTAAAAGTCTTGTCATGCAAGACATTCTGTTGATAGGGCAGCAGAAAAATTTGAATAAGTCAAATGGTCTTTTACTTCGAATTTTGTTCATTAGATGCCAAATTTTTAATATCCTGTTAAAAWTCRTATTTCTGTTGCCAACCTGCCTGAAAAATTTGGGGCAGCTTTTCATCCTTCAGCTTTCAGATCGTATTTTCTAGGGTCTCTCCTCAAACAAGTATGTTAAAAATGTCTTTTGAAGAGTGTAGTTCACAGAGTATTGTTCCGTGGCTGAAGTTAGGGATCATTATCCMTARTYAGCTTGAAGGAAGATGATTCTAGGMCACAAGGCTTATTACTGTGAAATGGTGGTGTAAAAAACTTGCTTTACCATGTGGGTTCAAAGCCCAATTAGCCAGAAKTTTCCCATTTCACTTGAGTTCATTTAACTTTGCAGAGTGCTGGAAGCTTGTATGGTTGTCAAAGGAGCATGTACAGCTATGCTGCTGTATACACCACTCTGCAAATTCATGATGTATCTTGAACATGTGATACAATCTTGTACATCATTCTTCCATTTAGGAAGAAAAAAAGCCAATAAAACCCAAAGCAAAACCAGACAACAGCTGACAGGGGCTACAAAATTCTGTAAAATCATGAAGCTAATTTTTTTAATGCTTTTTTTTTGTTTGGTTGGTTGGTTTTTTTTCCCCCCAGTAGATCATGTATTTGTGGCCAAGAAAGGAGATTATCAATAAATCTTTGGTCTGACCTAATAGAGTTGATATTCAGAATATCTAATTTGCAGTGTGAGAGTGTAAATTTAAGCAATTATTTCATTTTCTTCATAGTACCAGGGGAGAATATTGCAACAATGAAGTATGGAGCACAAGTTGTAAAGGGRGAGCTGAAGTCTGCTCTATTAGATGGAGATACTCAGAATTATGACCTGGATCATGGCTTCTCTCGACACCCGATCAACGATGACTGCCGCTCTGGCATTGAAATTAAACTAGGCCAGCCCTCAATAATCAACCACATACGAATTCTCCTGTGGGACAGAGATAGTCGGTAGGTTCCAAGGTGATGTGAAAGGGGAAAACAATGCATTTTGTATTGATGGTTATGTATCGATGCAAACTAAAAATTAAGTATGTTAGGGAAACAGCATGATAGCGTTGGAGATGGCAGTTGTAAGTTTGATTTGAAAACAACCTGATTTTTAAATGTAATTWTGGTTATTTACACACCAGACCATACTTTGAGATGTTAAATTGTGTTAAAATATTTAAATAGTTTTTTTCAATATTCACATTTCAAACATTGAAACAATTTTTTTATTCAAATTTTTTTGATATATCAAAACTGTTAAGAAATAACATGCTTTGRCCGTGAGATTGGACYTGATCTTGGACATCTTTGCAAKCCTWAATGATTCTGTGATTCTGTGATTCAGGGATAATAAAATTTATTTAGAGTGTAAATTGCCAATGAACTAAAGTAGTTATTAAAAACCACTTCATGTTTAGACTGGTGAAATATGAATCATCATAGATGCCTTAGCCAGTTGATACTGAGCTACTTTATGTTATTATGGAATGTATGAAAATGAAAATTATGCATATTTGAAAAATTGAGAGACTGCCTAAGTAGAAAAATTGCAAGGTATCTTTTATCTGACAAACTTAATGTATTAATTTTGTAACTTCCCATGACAAAGATCTTACAATTTAGTAGACAGTTCAGTATTCATAAGCTATTAAAAACAATAAAACAAGCTACTTACAAATTTATTATGTACCTCATCATCTTTCTGATAAAGGATTAATTTTATTTTATTTCCAGACTTACAGTTTAGAGTTGTAAAAGAGTTGTACTTTGCTTTTTTAGCTAAGCCATGTTATTTTAGGACAGGGTATATGAAAATTATATTTAGAGTGGGATTTTTTTTGTAAATTTAAATTAATTTTTTAATATGAGTTTCTTAAAATTCAAAACAAATTTCATTCATTTTTATCTATTTAACTGTTTCAAATAAGTTCTCCTACTTCAGTTCAACTGAAATTTATTTCACCTCTATTTCTTTTGTAAAGATCAAAAAGTGAAACTTYGAAGGTATAAGGAACTGCTTCATATAATACTATACTAGTTGTGCCAGAARATCAACCAAATTTATGAACCAGTCATCAACCAACTTCACAAAATGTGAAACAGTATCAGAGATATGTTARTAATGAGTTCTCTAGCAATTTTTAGAGAACTTGTATTACTGGTAAAATCCCCCTCATCTGCAWGGCATAAATTGGCAGCTGCTGAAACTCAGGGAAAAAATGTTCTCCTTGGGATAACTTCTTACGAAGTTATCTGTTGCTTTTGTCCTGTRCCCTGCATCTGAAATTTGTAGAATACACTTGCTGTATCAGACAAGATGGACCTCTAGAGATTTTTGTCTTCACAAAATATGGAGAATTCAGTGATTTAGGATCTAGTTTCTGTGTCATCCTGCTTTTTTTTACATTTYATTTTTTTYAARTCGTCCTAATTTCTGTGGAAATTTTGCTCTTGAGCGTTGTTTTGCTTCGTAACAGGTATAGTACTGGCATTAGCACTGTCTGTCCTGTGCAAGGCCAGGAGTTGGACTTTGCTGACCCTTGGGGTCCCTTCTGATTCAGAATATTCTGTGATTCTCTGATTCTATGAAWTGTCAAGTTCTTTTCCTCCARTAACTCRGCTGTCTAAGATAAATKGAAACAGAGACGTTTGGACTACTTTGTCAATTTGGGGGTTCCTCAGTATAAGATAGTGACCTTCTGGATTGGATTCAGCAGGGCATCTAGATGATCAAGGCTTAAGCATATGAGAATCTACTGGTTTAAGATGAGCAGACGTAGAAGGGAGAATTTGTTCCTCTCCTCACCTRTTCAGTGGAAGAAGACAGAGAATACAGGGACAGAATTCTCTTGCAGCTGTGTGCTGAGAGTACAAAGAGCAGTGGACACAAGCAACAAGACAAATTCATATTAAATGTTAGGAAAACAGTTCATAGTGGGGTACTTGAACTTGAGAARGGTTTGGCCAGAGATGTGTGCAGAAATTTAACCGTCAAGACCTTAAAGAACTTGTTCTGCAATTGTCCTTGCCTTTTGCAGAGATCTTTTCTGCTGGACARTCTTTGTCTAACAATTGCTGGCCACTTATCTGATCTTTCTCATGGGATACATGAATAATGTCTTCTGAAGATGTGTTTTAGCATCTATACAGACCTGTACAGCATGGTTTCTTCTTGATGAACAATTTCTTAAACTACTCTGTTCATTTAAACTGTTTCTGTGAAGCTCTGTTTTATTGGATATTAACAGAACCAAATGCAAACTAACAGGTGTTTTACACCTCTAGTTTAGGGGTGTTAACAGCTCAACCTGAGCTGTGAAAGTGCTAAGGGGGGTAGCTGTCCAAACTGCTTCTGCAAAAAAGATCCTGTCCAGCCTTAAAAGAAAATAAAAGGCATACTGTTAAGTATGACAATAGAACTGTATTTTCAGGTAATACTTCTTTGTTTGGTACCCTCAAAAACCAGAAATTAGCTTGTTGTGTATTGCTTACAAATATATGTTAGTCTAGAAGTGATCATGTGAGAATCTGAATGCTCAGGGCACAGTCAATAACTTTTGTATCCAAACTCCTCCAATTCTAAAATATTGTAGCCTAGTTTTGTCAAATACACTTAGATTAGTAATAGTTATGCTGCTGATGCACAGTATATTTATGTGGGTTGTGAATATTACACATTTGATGARTATGAATGTGAAAGCTGGTTATGCAATTGACATATAAAGACTTAGCCTTACCTTTCCAAGTGCAGAAATTGGTATTGATAACAATCCAACATTTTAAGGATTTTTAAACATTATCACTTTTAACAMATACTCTTCTAAGTTCTCGGGAAAATTGGAATTATTAACAAAGGCATTAACATTTAACCAGAAGCACTTGTGTAGAACTATGGAAGAGCAACTCCTCTTTAGAAATCAGTGAGAAAGGATGTTAGGTGCTGACATGGTGCTGTTGAAATGGCTGTGAATGTTACAGATTAGTACCTTAGGAGAAAGAAAATACTCAGAARCATATCCAGTGATTTTCTGCTCCACAAGTGAAATTTCTACTTCATTCTAAGTGTAGTGGTCATAAGTATAATTAGCTGTGGCTTTTAAGTTCTAGTTTGGGTTTGCCTTCTTTTAACAGCAAACTATAAGATAAACATAAGTGATAAACAAGAGGAGGACTCAGATTCTGTTAGTGGCTTTTTTATTTTTCATGAGGTATAAGGAAGTAGTGACAGGCTCAGTGATGTATCATAAAGAACTGAAAGGGTCAGAAATGAAGAACATCAGTGAAAATGGTCATAAAGTAAATTTGCTTTTTTTCAAGTAAGAAGAGCATCAGTGAGAATGGTCATAAAGTAAATTTGCTTTTTTTCAAGTAAGTGGTTTGAATTTGCATTTTTGATCTATTAACTGTTTTTTAATTTTTCTTTATTGATTTGGCAGTAGAAACAATAGCGTATCACTGGTCGTTTTGTTTCATTCCACATGGAAGGAATAAAAATTACTATTTTTATGACTGAGTCAAAAATCTCCATTTCAGTTTTTCATAGTACTCTCATCTAATGACAATAGATTGTGTGTATTAGGATGTTTTAAATCATTCTGAAAAATATGTCTTCACTGTGTGAGAGTTTATTTTCAAAGCTACGTTGAAAATAGGAATCTGTGTAAGAACAAACAGCCTTCTTTTCAACACAACTGAAAATCCAGGAGACAGTGTAAAATTTAATACCTAAAGTTTGTCAACTTGTATACTAACCAGKGTTTTTTGACAATCCATAGGTCTTATTCCTACTACATTGAAGTGTCCATGGATGAGTTGGACTGGATTCGGGTTATTGATCACTCTAAATACCTCTGTCGGTCCTGGCAGAACCTGTATTTTCCTGCCCGTGTCTGCAGGTTAGTTCAGCAGTGTAATATACAATGGCTAACGTTAAAGAATGTAGACCGCAGAATACTAATAATGAATTGCTACTTCATTATGTATTTCTGAAAATGTATACCTCAACTTCCATCAGCTGTGCTAAAAAATTGTTTACCTTAGTGGATGCTTTTGTAATACTAATATAGTTGATAAAATACTGGTGTTCATTTGAGAACTCTAATTTTTTCATGTTTACATAGCCCCTTTTTTCTTCCTTTTTCTTCAAGTGATAGCCACTTTTTTTGCAGCTGATGTGGGTTTTTTTTTCTCTTTTTTCTTATTCAAAAACTGAATTGAGYTCATTGATAAGGAGGACATAACCTGCAGATACCAAAGATACTGTCATCATTCGGTTTTGGGTCACAGACACTGAGAGGAAATGATCTGTATTGTAATAATTATAATGTAGACATGTAGACACAAGCATTTTAATTGGCACAGCAACTCTTGGAATTTCCATGGAGAGAAGTGCTTTCTTTTTTCCAAAGAATTAGCTCTCTCTCTGATCTTTGCTGCTTCACAGCACAGGATTTCTGGTGTGCAGTTACAGTCTATGGGAAAAGGATCTGGTGGGTCACTTGTGTGTCTCTTCCTCTCAGATAAATCTTTCTCAGCCTTTCTGTCCCTCAGTAAGTTCATACTGAATGTAACTGACTTGAAATTTATTTTTCCTGATAAAATACATATTCTCCCCTATAAGTTTTATGATTCTGATTTTATTGTTTTCTATTTCTGAAATGGTTGGTGGTGTCCCTTAGTTTGTGTGTGTATCTGATAACTTTTTGCTTAAAGGTGTCTGTGATAAATTGTCTAGCAATGATGAAATGCCTSCTGAGATTCTGTGGTGGTGAAGGCTCTTCACAGCCTTTCCTGAAGGTGCAGAGGGGGAATAGTACAGGGGAGAACATTATTCCAAAGTTTTACATGGTACTTTACTTAGGTGTTGGCACTAAAGGATCTCTTGTACATTTTATCTCTCCAGTGATCGCTTAATCCTCTGAAAGGGACTTGCTCTTTGCTGGAGGAGTACATTATAAGGAAGGAGTTTATTTCATGTGGTGCTTTTATACACACAGGTTTATAATTTATGCATGCACAAGCACACCTGGAAACCTCCCCCTTACAGTTTTGTTTTGGCATATATTTTAAGTATACAGTTGTCCATGTAACTAAAGCATAGATTTCCTTATCATGTATTCATGCATCTAATTTTTCCTGTTCTGCTCCAACATCCACAACARTCCTGTTTGCTATAAATTTATGTTCCTCTTTGTCATATCCACGGCGTGGTGGGGAATTTCTTGGAGGTGCAGCTTATTTGAAGAGCAAATGGAAGAGCTAAAGACRAAGTCATTTAGCAGCAACCTTAGGATAAACTCCTTAGTTTAGAAGCACTTATTATTAAAAAGCAGYAACCTTAAGGCAAAATATGGGTCCTCAGTTGAGTCAATATAATAATGTAATAATGAAATTATTTAGCTAAGGTTGTTCTGTAATCTTTATTTACATTAGTGAATTGAAGCCTGCATCATTGTAAGAATACATGTGTTATTCAAAAGTAAAAGTGGCTATAATTTACTGATTTTTTTATGTATTTTCTTTCTGTAAACAGGAAGAAAAGGCTATTTAAAGTGTAATTAGAGATGTAAAATTGCTGACAAATTTTTGAGGAGTTCCAGTTTAAAGGATTTTTATTAAATATATTAATATAAATAGTTAAGTATAACTTGAAAGTTGACTCTGCTTTTTCCAGGAATTTTGATCAAATTCCCTCCTGGAGAGAATCTTTGAGCAGGGGAAGCTATGTACACCTTCATATTTGTCTTAGAGACTTATTTATCTGTCTTTCAATCATTATTCTGTTCAGAAAGAAGTAAGCAAGTACTAGTAAACTTTTCTATTGTCTCCAATTTCAGTGTTTTATGATAATGTATTTAAAGTTGTTCTGTTTACTTAAATGAACTAAATTAGTTCTAACATACACAAAACAGAAATCCTAATATATGTAGCAGTTTTTTATCACATAACGAAAGAGGTGTTCTCCAGTCTTGTGAGCACAGATTTAAAATAGGAGCTAATATGAGTTTGTCAGAATGTATTCTTTTATTATTTGATGGCTGTTTTTACAGACATGGTATGGATGCTTATCAAGGGTCAGATGTGTTGTAAGCTTTAAAGTTGTAAGTTTTATATGCTTTGTTGTAAGTTTTATATGTTCTGTTTTGCACAATGCTGCTTCTGTGATATGGTCTTGTTTTACTGTCACAAGTCCAGTGCCAAAATTTTCCTGTTAATGGACAGCAGTACAGAGGAGTGGAAGCATCATGTGTTCTCTCTGCTTGCCATTAGTTTTGGCATTTACTCCCTTTTTGTTTTACTAATGCAGATAATATTTTTGGAAGCAACCACTTAGGGAACCATGCTGCAATTTTTTTTAAAGTTTTGCATGCGTTTTTAGCAGAAAATCGTGGACGAAATGCCTTACCATTAAGAGCTTGAGATAGGTGGTGGTTTGGGTTTTTTTGTATTTAAAAGAAGTTTATTTTAGGTCAAAGAGCTTTATGACATCATTGTATAAGATGACATTTTGAGGAGCTATAAAGAATTGAAGAGTAGAATTATTGGCAGKGCTTTTTTTATTTATGTGCCTTTTTCCAAAGTGAGGGAGTTGAACATGCCATATTCTGTACAGGTTGTTGAAGGACAGCTAGTTATATCTGATACACTGGAGCAGTTGTTCAAACATAGATTATAAACAGRACATGAGCTATGTAATATTAAGCAAGGTTAGTTGCCTTTTTGASTTACTTTTCAAACAAATATTAGTTGGAAAAGATGAGAGCTGTCAAGGTCTGAGCTGATATGTTCATCTAAGTTTTAAGAAGCTACTCAAACTTCTCCATAGCCATAAAAATTGATGGAGTGTGTCTTCTGTAGATTGGAAGTTTTGCTTGTCTTTTTGAAAACCTGTGACTTTTCTTTTAAGCAAATCTATCTATGTTCAATTCTACAATCAATGCCTCTTGCACATGAGCTGGATGAAAAACATGCAACCTTCTGGCAGTTAGTTGTTAAATAAAATAAATAATTTATCCACAGTGAATTAAGCCAATTCAGCCTCCTTAATGAGTCATTTGTCATGTACGTCATAGTCTCTATCATTACTTGATTTTTTTGTTATATGGAGCATTGTGTAATATTCACAATAGTGTTGGAGTTAGGAACATTATTGTGCTTCCCATGAAAGATGATTTATACTTGGTAAAGCACATATCAAACCATCCATACTATTTAGGCATAGTCAACTAAGTAACATGATAAGGTTATTTACACTCTTTGATTCTTCCTGTTACTTATATGCTCCAGTCTGTTTTAATAGGATCAGAGTAACTTTTGCCGGCCATGACCTCTGTTAGATTAATAGGTGGAAAAAATGGAAGTGCAATAACCAAAGACTGAAATTGTAGACTGAAAAGGAGATGAGAAATTTGTTTGTGCTTTCTCACATACATCAAGTGATTTATTTATTTGGAGGAAGTGGTTCCTGATTTAGATATACAAGCTAATAGTCTAATAAAGACGACTTGTTCAGTGTCAAAGCTTAGTATAATAGTAAGAGAGTGTTGATTTATTTAAAGGGCTTTTAGTCAAAAAAAATACTGAGTTTTTATATATGAAGTTTTTATTGACATAATTGTGTTTTAGACTTTTTTGTTTTAAATGCTTTTACAGTAAATTATTATAAYATCTTTAAAAATTGAACAGTCATATATTATGTAGAAAAAGCAAATAAGAGAGTGAAGATTACTGGGCAATTTTTTTTCCTTTTTTTATTCAGTACAGTAGATATTTTACAATATCTTTTGGTCCTGTTTTCTTTGTTTGCATTTTTATAGCAACTTTCATATTAGAGCTGGAAACTCTTTTGAGGGGAGACAGGATACAGAAAATGTTCATGTAATGAGGTTCCTGTGAAAGTTCAGGAGCAAGTGTCAGATTCATACTTATTCCATCTTCTTGTAGCAGTGAATGTTAAAACTGCTAAAGATCTTTGAGCAGGTAATGCTGTTTTCTGTTTATCCTTCTCACTTTTTTCATCTTTTCATTTTTGTTTTGTGACTTCATCTTTTTACTTYGTCCTTGACCACAATATTTGAAGTACTGCATTAAAAGAATTACAAGAAAATAAGAAGTTTTGAGGTTTCATAGTAAGGCAAATGTAGCCACAAGGTGTCACTACAGTAAAAGTTTAAAAGACTTAATTTCTTTCTGTTTACATTATTTTGGTGAAAGTGTTATTCCTACTGTATGCTTTTTTTCTGTATTAAACTCCCCAGATTTATGGAATCATTCTGGTCTGCTGTTKATGCTATAGAGGGAACAAGTACAGAGTTTGTACATAAAATCAGAAGGAAACTTCCAGTTCCATTTTCCATCTTTAGTCCAACACTGGATCATTCTGTGTTTTGATTGGAGAAGTATTTCCCAGACCAGATCAATTTGTAGTCTGAAATCAGTGCTATTTTGTCAGTAATACCAAATTCAAAAATATAATGAAAGGTAAAGAGATTAGTTTTTATCTGTATTTGCTATTATTTTATTATCTTAGTTCTTTTTGCGATTATGATAATGCGATTTATCAAAGGGAAATATTAAYTATTACTCTAAAAAATTTTGGTTCTAAAGCTTGTTTCTATTAAGAGAACTGATAGATGCCTGTAGAGTCATGCTGTAAATGTGGGAAATTATTTAACCATATTTTTTTTGCTGTTTTTTAAAACTGCTTTAAACTGAAATATCTTGAGATTTTCTAATACTAATGTGTTGAGTTAAAAGTGAAACAATGTAAGTGCTCTGTGTTTCCCTTAAAGGATTTGGCTGCTGTAAAAAGTGTGGTATTAGAATTATTTTTCTTTTAGAARGTGAACTTGTATGTAAGATGTATTTATTGGTGCAGAGAGAATTASTTGCCTTT